GTAAGCGAGCAACCGTATTTACATAACAGTCGGTGGATCTCGTAACCGAACGCGTTCGCGTGTGCGTTCGCCTGTATTCGTGGTCGTCATAACAGACGATGCTCGACTAGCGTCGAGGAAAGTCTCTTGCGCGATCGCTTGCTTTCATGGAACAATCGAAAGGGTAGTCGTATCCAAAAGATACCCGAGTAGAACGAAACGATCGAACATTTCGGATCTCAAATCAATCATTTCTCTTATCTATCATCCCTTAAAAAAAGTTTGCGTCGCTTCCAACTGGGTTTCGCGTATCACGAGTCACACGTCTTTCAATTAATTTCAATTCACCAAGAGACGGCGGAAGAAGAAAACTTTTTCCACGAGAAGTTTTCGACTTTATCGTGTAAAATATAACCGCAACGACCGTGTGGCGTGTGAGCTTGAACTTGAGATCGTTATACTTAAATGCACACGGTAGCTACGCCTAAATACCTAAATACTCTTACCTATATGACGCAGTGGCTTATGCGTTTGTTGCACGAACATTTATACATATATACGCGTGTATATAATACAGCCGACCAAACGGATCCGTTGATCCAAGCAACAATTGACTTGGTTAAACGATACCTATCGACGACTCGGTAACCAGAATCGTCAGGAGAGAAATGCTCGATGCGAGAAGGCCAAGAAAAAAAATAAGGAAAAAAAAGATAAGTTACAAAGATACGTATGCAAAAGAGGTATAAATTAACGGAGATAAGATAACAACATTTAAAAATGAAGGCAGGTAGTCGACTGTGTACGAAGTATTCGAGACTGCGAACGGTACGAAGAAAGAATTTCGATATTTTTCAATGAAAGAAATAGAAATGAAACCGAAATGGCCCTCTTTCAAAATGTAAGGTGTATCATTTTCAAGCTGCAATCCAATCCCCTTGTACGACGATAAGTCAGTAAATAAACGTTGCCTCGTCATCGAAGGTACCATTAAAAGGAATTACATGGAGGAGATCGAAGAAAGTCGTTTCCATCCGAGAAGCAGGCCAGTCAGACATGAAAGGGTGACTCAGAATGAGCAAGGCAGCTATCGTGGAAGGATATTAAACTGGAAAATGAAGTCGATAGGATAATTCATCGGGGCAACTGCGAACGTACGGGGGTGAGAATGAAAGTTTACATGTAAGATGGGAAAATAGAGGAAGGGTGAAATTGATTCTCGTGTGGCATCAATGGCCCGAAACAAATCGTCAAAGTGGCGATTTTATGTTGTGGCCGGGTATCGCGATGGCAACCAACCTGGTGGCCATGGTAACGTTGCTAGCTCATTCGGGCTTTAATTCACAAACGTAGAGACGGCTGGCTGGCTGGCTGGTTCTCCGTTTGCGAGATATTCCGCTTCGATGAAAGAGGTCGAAGGGCGAGAGGGAAGCCGGTGAAAAAGCACGAGCCACCGGCGAGAGAAAGAGGAGAAAGAGGTAACGGATTGAGGGTGGACGAGAGTTGGAAAGAGAAGGGTGAGGAAAAAACGGGAGCGAGCTACTACAACCCCACGTGTGTTTCTCCAAGGGTCGCTATGGTGACGCTTCGGTGTTCGTTATAGTAATGGGTTGGGAGTTGCGCCGCGCCGGGAGGCGCTCCACTCTCCCACGCTCGTCGGGGACACCTGCTTTAACGATTATCCGCTTGAAAAAGGGAGAGGAAAATGGGGAAAAATGGACGGGAGAAGGGTCGGGTTTATCATCTACCACCACCTCGAATTTGCGTAATTTTTTTGCTTTACGAACTTGACGATTCAGACTCGAAACATCTCGATTACATTTCAAGAACGAAGGAATGAGATTCGGTCGCAGCTGCTGAAAAATCTTGCGCAATAATTCCAAGTCACGTTGATTCCTTTTCTTTCCGCAATCGCGATAAACGCGGCGTACACGTGACGCGTTTGGACACAGGTTCTGATTACTCAGTTGTTCCGTCCATCTTTGACGTTTCAAGTTTTCTATTTATCACCTTGACACGTGATCGTGATTTTATTTTCATCGCACCATCTTTTGCCCTATTTACATCTGCTTTGCTCTACATTACAGCGTCGTTAGTTACGAGTAAATCGAGCGTCGGTATCGAGTAGGGAACATAGAAAATTCGTCGAACATCTAACAACGGTTAATTGGTCGATGCTGTTAATAGTCGCGCAATTAACCGCGATAAGGAGGACGGCGTTAATGTTTTGTCCCGACATTTACTGCAGATACGTACATCGTAGCAAGAAAAACAGGAACCAAATAGCTGTGTACGGCAGCGATATATGTTCGCATAATGCCGGCCATTGGTTATATTTGGCATATCTAGAGCTGGAAACGAGTGACTCACTGTCTCCTATCTGCGGTGAACTCGTGGAAAAGAATTCGCATGTTCTGACGGAAAGTATTGCAAAAATAATATTGGAAAAACTAATTATTTAAAATATTTAAATTAAATTAAAATTAGGCTTCTCTCCATGGTCCGCCGTTTTCGTATACGCGTTATCGTTGAAGCACCCTGTAGAATGGCACATTATTCAGTCGCGACGCATCCCGCGCACCTCGGCAAACCATCGCCAACAGCAAAGAATCAAAATTTTCGTCATAATTCTCCGGATGGAAATCCGCGCTGCCCGCCGCGACAGTCGTACGGTGATTTGCATTCAATGAAACGACGGTTGGCGAGCAAGGAAAGGATCGACCGTCGATTTCCAAGCAGACAGAAAAAGATGTCGTAGCGGGGTTGTGTAGAGGAAGGTAAACAATCAGTGACGTAGGGACCAGCCATGATATCGGGCAGAAGTTAGAGCATCCTCCTGACCTGAGGATCAATGAGTGATCGATATCGAGCATGGACGATCCATATTCATGTAGATTCATGAGCCAGAGGAGGAACGACGAAGAAGCTCGACGTCTCGACGCGTTAGCCTTCGAGAATTGGCTGGGTTATTTGCGTGAATGTAACGATGATGTTGCGACGCGTATACCGGGGGTCAGAGGTCGTTGCAAACAATCCTCCATGTGGGAACATACCGAGTTTCGAGCTCGTGTCAGAAACGACAGGCGTCATGGCCTCCCGGAAACCAGACCGCGATGCAAAGCTAGAGAGATAGTCTAACTAAGAAGGAAACGAACGTGACAATTGAAGGGTTGAAAGAATATGGGACGACAATTTGTATTTTTATTTTAACACTCGGGAATGAGCAGCGAAACGCGCTTCGATCAAAATCTCGATGAAACAGAATGAAATTCGAAGGGATGAAAGAATCTGAATAAATTGAAGATCGTTGAAAATATTATCCGACATAGAAGCATGAAATATGTTATATCTCTATTTTTTATCTTCTGTTCGCGAACGTGTACGATGGATCCATAGAAGTAAATAACGCTTAGGGATTAAGTGTATGCAAAGCAGACGATTACCACGCCGATAGCCAGTCGCAGGCCAGTACACCGGACGTTCCGTCTGTAAATTTATGTTAATCAAGATGTATCAGTAGTTCTGGAAGCTCATACCGACCGACACCGGTATACTTTAGCGATGATACGGAGACCTGTTAACACGGCCTGAATAAATAAATCCTTCTCTAATGAATTTTCTTGGTGAAACAATTATAATAAAAAAAAAGCTACTATCTACTAGAAGAAGCAGAGATTCTTTTCTCACATTCGAAGCGAGCGATAAGGCACCCCAGTTTCCCATGAGATCCCCATGGACCATGGACGCAACCTTCTTCCGGCCAGAAAGAGTTCCTACAGCCTGAAAAAGGTCGAGGGACATCCCGATGATTCTCGAGGGTTGGCGATATTCTAATTTCGAGATCGACTGACCTATGCGAATGGTCAGTCGGTCTAGATTCCCATGGATTTCAGCTACCTGGATGGTAGCCGATTTCTGTTTCGACCCGCTGGAAAAAAGGACGCGCGGTCATCGAATTTTACCTGAACACCCCGTGCTCGCCATTTCACCACCCCGAATAGATACAACGCGTTCGAAACCTATTTAAATCAGGTCGAAAAAATCCGTTAGACATAGGTGACCGTCCTCGTGTCCGGCACGATATCCTTGGACGATGGGAAAGAGGAAAGGCAACCGCTAATATGGCAGACGGTTAAGGGATGCGGGGTGTCCTTTGCACCTGGACAAACGCTCTATATCAGTGTCGTTGTCTTCCGCTTTTTCTCTCGTTTCATTTTTTTTTCTTTTCGCCTATGCCGTCGTCGTTGGGTCATTTCGTTAACTGGAGCAACGGTCTTGAGAATTTGAAATTTCATCCCCACCACGGGGTGGAGCGTGATGGCGGTTTGTTTGATATTCTGGCTGGTCAGAATCGTCGACCGTTGGATTTTCTATGGGGGTTGCTTTGCCACTGGCTCGATTTTATATGGAGCAACGGACAGACCGTGGATTTCCGGCCTGATTGATCGAGCTTTGCTTTCTTCCGTTGGAAGTTTCGCTTTCAACCCTTTCAGGATTGTTTGATTTCGCGTTTGAAGGTATTTAAGGGACGTATGTAAATTCTAGAGCAAGGATTTCTGGAAATTTCCATGATTTATAGACGTTTTATTATTGCATTCGATAGGTGAGTCTTAGAAATGAGATATAATAACGTTTTTCCACCTGTTCCCTGCCGCGAACCTTGAAATTTAATCAGCCACGTTGGTTAAAGTTTATCACCTGTTATCGGGACCACTGTACCGTCATATTCTTTACATTATTCAATAGATATACTCGGAGGTATAGTTCTCGAGAATTATTGCTGAACTCATCGAATGCCACGAGTATTGTCGTCCTAAAGACACGATATCTCGTCACGAATATACGCTTTGAATATTCACTTTGTTGATAAAACGAAAAGAAAGATCGGTGCAACGCGGTAGATAAACGTTTTACGAAAATCACGATGCGCGTTGGAGGACATAAAGGTTCCAAGGAAACGGATATAAAAGTCGCAATCTTCTGGAAAGAGAGAACGACGAACCTTTTTATCTTTATTCGTTTATTACGACCCGACTGAGGATTTCTTTGTCATTTCGACACAGTAATTCTAGACATTAAAGGATAAACAAGATTAAGCACCCCGATTCATTAACAATATCCATCCCCTTCAAGATCGTCAAATTAGTCAGCGAGAAATTGTTTTTAGAACCAGTGGTCGTTGATCAACCCCCTGTCACCGAGAACACCCTGTTGATCCGATTGATCGTTTTAGCCAACGGTCACCTCGTGCCGTGCCCGTTGTCCATCTTCTTCTTTCCTCGAAAACGGTTTCAAGCAACTGGACACACCGACACTCTACTCCCTTCCATGTAGAATCCTCCAATCAGAACGTTCGAGAAGAACAGACGTTTTATCAGCGGTATTTTCTAACACCCCGTCGAGGAAAGGGTACGCGCGAAACGAGGACATTTAAACGAGCCCCCTAAAAGGGTTATCTACCTGCGTGACCCGCACCGTTTCACCCTTGGGTCCATTCTGACCTGCGAACCTGACGGTTCCCCTTCGACTGGCCCATTCGAATCCGATCCCCCGGGAAACAGGTTTTTCCACACGCATGCTCTCGATCGAACAGGTAGTGGACGATGTCAGTGTCCCCCAGGAACGTGCAGGTATATGATCCTCTGACCCCTGCGTCCTGCTCCACTTCTTATTTATTTCCGGTTCTCTCCGCTCTCTGGACGAACGTAGCTTTTTTTCTTAGGATGTGATTTTTCTAGAAATTGCAGCATCTTGGAATTCGCAATGAAAGACGGTTGATTAGAGCAATTCATGGTATTTAATTTTTATTTATCTTACATTTATCCTAAATTTTAAATTTCAGCACGTTAGTGAAAGAAAAGGTTATTGATAATAATGTAAGGTTAATGAATTGTTAGTGACATTGGGAACTAGAGCAATTTCGCGTATGAATCTAGGGACTTCCAGAGATGAGCTCTGGAAATCGCCGGATGCTCCGCAGACGTGATCACCCGGCTTGCTATTGGTCTCTGGACCAGAACCAATCCGAAAGGGGATCTCCCCTCTCCTAGAATGGTCCAGCCTCTCGTGCATTTATCAGAATGACTTCTTATCGTCTCTTCTTCGTAGGAATTCGATTCGCTTCGGGGATAATGTTAAAGAAAAGAGAATTATTATACGCGTACATTGATTGGAAAAACGAGCACACGTTTTGCATACGGTGTCTTTTTGTCGCATAATCGTTGCGCAAGCGACCTGCGAGCGCGAGTTATCGTCGCGATGATAAAATGAACGCGGCGAACTTGTTCGATACCGATTTCCGACCGGTTTCTTGGAGAATAGTTCAGAGTAGAAAAAAACTTGTGTTCTAAGCATCGACCACGTTTAAATTTAGTGATGGAATCAAGTTCAATATAATAATTTAATTATTGTTATTTAAACTGGTGGATTCAAATTTAGTCAATGTTTTTAAGCCGATCGCTAGTAAAACACCGGTACGAGTGGAACGCCTGTTTCGTTTGTACGTAATTAATTAATTAACGAAACGTTTGATAATCGTGTCTCGCTCGCGTCGTCTACGCGTGCTTTCTACGAGCAAAACGTAGGAAATACCTAATGAAAATGCTAAGAGAAAGCAGTTGATTTTCGTCATAGAAACTACCACTTGTGAAATTTTCATTCTCGAGATTTATCGTATCTCGATAATCAATATTCTAAAACGTTTTTAAATAAATACTAATGTCAAAGTCCTAATAATATCCCCATAAATATTGATAGCTCAATTATATCGATCTTCGATGCAAACGTTAAGATGTCCCTATCCGATTCCTTGAAATGAATAATTTCTTAACTGAATAATTAATTACATTTCATTACCGATGTCCTTCTAAGGAGACGGTTGTAAAATTCCGGTTCGCAAATTCGTTAACTCAAATAGAAAAAAAAAAAAAAAATAAGAAAGAAAGAATGGGAAGAGGAGGGGTTGGTTTAACCCTTCCACGAATGGTCTGGAAGGAAAACTCGAGCATCAGCCCGAATAGAAAACTGGAGCACGAGCAAAAGGGTGGTCCTGCGTGTTCCGTAGTGGGGGAAGGGTTCCTCGCGGACTTGCTTCGTTCTCCACATATCGTGTTCACCTTCGGCTCCTCTATGACGATCGTTCAATCGAATTTCCGTGTTCAGTGTTCAGATCGTTTCTGGACTCGGTCCAATCTCTGTCGCAATTAACGTAAAACGGTCGGCAAGAATCGTCGGTCATAGCTTCTCATAAATTCAACCCAACTGTTTCTCCCACCCTGTTCGCCTCCATCGTTTCTGTTCGCGTGGAACGTGTCGTAGAATGAATTTCGAATCGGTTCGCACGGCCGCTGCGTAATTGATCGATCGGCACCGCGAACAGTTTGATCGATAGACAGAAGACGATCGGCGTATGAGAGGTCGCGGGAGAAGACTCGGCCCTGGTGCGAGAGCAAAGAGGTTACCTCATCCACGGCAAGAAAAATCGACGAAATGGGTGAGTCTCGCTTCATTTTTATTACCTAATTAAGTTTTTCGAAATGTGAGATATCTCTAAAGATTCTCGTGTGACTGTTAAAGCGAATAGAATGTGTGAAAAGAATTACGCAATACGAGAAACATTGTACGGTTATGATAACAACAAACGCATCGGGTAATCTGTGTGTCTTCTCGCAACACGTCTCTCGATAAAGATAACGTTTGAAAAGTTCGTTGTCAAGGTTTGAAGATCAATAGAAGATGTAAAAACACGAAGCAATAAGATGCCGATACGCGAGTGACTCTATCGATAGAGCTCGGTATGTTTCCTAGAAAATGTACATCGGTGTACATTTAATCATCAATGATGCATTAGTGGAATTTGTAGAACTATTTTATTGTACCTTCAGAATTTACGTACGTTCGTAGATAAGAGTGCGAGATTAGAAGTCGGACGTTAAAAGAGTTTGATATTCGTGGAAGGTATTAGCAGAAAACAATTTCGCCACAATTTTCTCGAAGAAATAGATTCAGGAACACGTGCACGCTATACTAAAGTCACGTGTCGGCATTACACTTTTATCGTCACTATTTACCCGTGCTCTCGAATGATCAGAGAAAGAAAAAAAAAAAAAAAATTCGAACCTAGCCAAGGTGCCGTGTGTTTATATCCACTCCTTGTTGATCGTTTACGGAGATACTCGTAAATGCGACTGATAACCGAGTTGCACGATATCAATCGACAATTTCCATGGTCTTTTCCTCGAACCGTGCTACGCGATCGATCGATAAATAATTTCCCGGTAAACATCGAGACTAGGCTTGCATTAGAACCTTGACATTGGACGGTCTTAAATAATATCTGCATTTCATCCCCAACGGAAAAGGCCCGATCGTAAATTATCGTTCGATGACGAATGTCGAAGCGACGTTTGAAAAGACGAAAATAACAAGGCTGGTAGTGAATTTTGAAGGTGAATCGTGGCCCATAGGTGACACGAAGAAGACTCAGGATCCAGGCATGAGTCACAAGGAGGCCCCTTCTGTCAACGCGTGCCTCGATATGCGTGCGGACACGCATTCACTCCGGAAAGCACGTGATTCATCGGGCGCACAATCGTCCAATCTGCATTAACAACGTGCCTCGTGATTCCGAATCCGCTTTTCCAATCCCCTTGTGCCCTTCGTTCATTCCCGTTTTCTCGTTACGCGCTCTCCTCCGTCCAGGTATACCCATATTGTGTAAAGGCGTCCCGTTACGCGCGGATTACCGTCGCGCCCGTGGAAATGTAAAGGAACACCGTAGGTAAACGATATTCATGGTTCGAGGGTAATTGAGGTAGTTCTTGTTTCGGTTGTTCGCACACGGATTCAATCGGAACAGTTGTTGTATCATGAACATCCTGTGTACGATTCTTACGAATGCAATAACACGCGTGTAGGATGTAACGTGGATAAAAAACACGGCTAGTTTACAGATGATACGAAAGTATAACGTTACGCAGATTACACGTGCCACACGATTCATAATCCCTGACCTCTCTTCTTGTATCGCCATTACCTCCCGCAACCAAAACATCCTCTCGTTATCAGCCAGAGTATCGTTTAACCCTCGGACGGGGTGGCGGACCATGGAGAGAGTCCCGATTTTCGAAACTTCGCACATGTTCCTCTAAAAAAATGATTCTTCCACTTTGTTCAACTCTTCCAAATTATTCGTACAATTAATCCGCGTTGCATAAATCATCAAAGCAACGAATTAAGATTGAATTACCTTGTAAATTGATCAATTAAGGTATCATTAACGTGGCGCGAACAAATCTTGCAACGTTACGCTCGTTCTCTTCCTGCAACAATCTCGAGTGACTCGATGGGATCAGCATTCTCGAAGACATCCTACACAGCAAGATCGAGCGATAAGAAAAGGAACAATCGCGAGATGGGACGGCTCGTATCCTTGTCGACTCGCGACGTATATACACGTCTATGTCTATATAATTTCGATGTGTTATCACTTAATACGTAAGGGGGGAAGGGTACGCGTGTACACATCATCTCCGATGCAACCGGCACAGTGTCTCGTTGCCACGTGCTAAAATAACTCAGCAGTCGAGTTTGCATATGCTTACAGTCGGTATCAAAAGTATATCTCGCGGTATCTCGATACAGAGGACAACACAGAAGAGCGTTTAAGGCGCGTTCATAATATCAGATCCCATGAACCTTCGTGGCGGTCACGTAAACGCGGATACTGCTCGTATCTGCCGGGTGATCAGCCATTTCCATGGTGTCATCAACGAGATATCCCATGGCCATGAAGTTTCTTTATAGTCGAACGGCGTTTCCACCTAAAACTGGTAGTCCACAACAGTTGGACGGGGGAAAAAGAAAAAGAGAAAAGAAAGAAATGGTGCACGTCATGTAACGTTCAGCGGTCTGAAGCTTTATGGGATTTATGGGGTGGGGTGTAGCAAGACCCGTTTAATAGCTCTAGTTCTCCTGCAAGATGACTGCCTCGCATGTAACCCCGTGCACTATTTCGAAAGAAGTCAGCCTTTTGTCCGTCAACGCTGCGCAACAATTTTCTTTTCATCTTGGACCTGCTTCTCTTTTCTTTTTAAATTTCTTTATTTTTTTCGTTACATTCTCTGCAGTGTCTAAAATGTTGTTAGGTGTAAATTCGAAGGTTGAAACGATCCCCTGACCAATGTTAATCGTAGCCTTTGCCCTGGAACCTGTTGAAAAGTCGCATCGTCAGGTATCTGTCGCTATTGGAATGTCACAGCTGGTGTCAGGAGCCGTGTTACAGGTAGGGTTACACGTGCTCGTTATTCGACTTCTGTTCACGGTATTCAGAAATCATCATTCGAAGAGTTTAATCACGCATCGATTTAAAAAGAATCCTAATTTTCCACTTATGGACGAAATATTGACAAATTCAGAAGGAAAAAAAATGATTACACAACTCATTGTATCTTCTGCAACGAGAAACTTTCATTTCTTCCAAATGGAATAAAAATAAAAAAACGTTTCACCAATTGCAAGGAGTGATGCAGAGCACGAAGAACGTCTAATTGCAAAAACCATCGCTCTTCTGTAACGATAATTGCATAAGTTTTTCGATTTCCATTCGAACAGTTGAAAAAGGTTTACACGGTTTCCTTATGGCCTTCGTGGAACGCTATTTTCCATACGTTTTTCACCGTTATCGCCTTTCCCATCTAAATCCAACGGCTAATTCCTGACTTTCTGCATCAGAAGGTTTTCAGCATCTGATAGGTTGCGTACGTATCTTCGTTACATATCGAAATGAACAATTATTGAAAGATTTCGTATGATCGCTGACAGCCCACGGAAATTCACCGCTATTTTTTTTTCGTAATATTTTACAAGTATCGTCGAGAAACTTTAGCTAGCTTCCACTCTCCGCAAATTATTCCTCCCTCCACCCTCGGGATTCCGTCGAGATCGTTATCCGTAATAAAAATCCGCGAGCAAGATGAAATCGGTGAAAGCGAGCAACGAAGAGGGAAGTGGAGATTGTGGATTCGATATCACTTGAACGTAACATTTTTCTTTTCTTTTTTTTTTTTTTCTTTTCTTTTCTAATTCGACCACAGGAAAATGCGTTACGATTCAATCGAAGCGTATCGATAAAAGTCTGCGTAAAATCGATAGAAAATTCCGAAACTACGAGATGAATCATCGAAGCGTTTAAGGCTCCGGATGATGGTTGCTAATGATCATTTCAACGTAACGAAGCGACATGAATTATTAAAGAGCACGGATTATTTATCTGTCTGGCTTTGCCGAAATGCTTCCCGATAGAACGAGACGAACCGTGTATCTTTAAAGGAACGAAACGCGTGTAGAACTTGGTGGCCGTCTCTCTTTTCCGCAATAACTAGCTCGCTCGCTCACGAAATTCATTTCACGGTTCTTAATTATTTTTAATTATCATTGACCAGGCCCGTTCGCTCTAACGATCCAACGTCGAACCATTCTTTTTCTCTGTTCGTTGCGGTAGCGTTACACGCGCCTAGAATCAAGCCAGACGTGCGAACCCGTGAAACGAGCCTCTGTCAACTGATCCAAGCTCGTAGAACAGGATCCAGGAAGTCTGTCTGGTGATGAAACGTGATTTTTTTTTTAGCGGAGTTCCGTGGGTCAGGAAAGCGTTAAGTTTCTTATAAAACTAAGTTAGATGTTGAACCAGTGGAACGTTTGATTTGTCGAAGAATGGATTACATTTTTCCTGTAGGTATTAACGACGATCCTTGGCAGAGTTGTTTCAATTTTTCTATTTCCCAATTAGTCCTCGCATTATTCTCCCCTGTAGATACTAAGAATCCGTCCGGACGGTACTTCCCAATCCTTATTAATTCCAATCGAAGTGGTCAATAACCAATTGCAAAACATTTGAAGGGAAGAAGTAAAACCTGATGGTTATTTGAAATGCAATTTTCACTGTTCTGAATCTCCGATCGATCGAGTTGTTTACTTCTCGGTCGTTACGCGTGGGCCACAACGACGTGGTTACTTAATTGGTTCAACACGGGAAATGCAGAAAATTGTCGGATTACGAAGGGGATAGGCGAATCGATGCGTGCTCGCGTTTTCGAAAGTGACTTTTCGAAATCGACTGCTCTAAGATCGGAGTTGAAGATCTGAATTCACTTCTTCGGGTATCGAACAGGTCAGTGAACGTAATAACACGCACAGTGGGGCAATTAGATAAAATCACATTTTATTGAAATGATCTATCATTTCATTGAATTATGTATGAATCTCGTAACATTTCGAAGGATAACAAAATAATTGTACACCTGGAAGGTTTTAGTTTTAGAAATTGCATTTTCGAAGAAAAATCTGGAAGACTTAATTTCTCAGTATTTCTCTATTCGGCAAAGGAACTCGTCGTGATTTATTTCCGCGGATGGTACGCCAACAACTCGCTCGTAATCCGTTCGCAACGGCCACGAATCCGCAATTGTCCAGGTCGGATTACGTAAAACTGGACGCGTTTATTGCACAGCGAACTTTTGCTAATTAGCGCGGGAGAAACCGGCGGTCAGCCAGCCGAGATAGACGCTCACACGATTCTATTTTGCCAGCGTGGTGTTGCGTAGGTGAGTGTGCGTTAGAACGCGAACGCGGATACGATGTTCGCTGGCATGGCGCCTTGTAATCCTTGCAAATTGCTTGCCTCTCGACAATCAGATTTTACAAATTAATTTCCTAATCGTATCGCATACCTACTCTTTGCAAAAATTAAATGCAACTAATCGAAGTGTATTTTGCTCCAGTTTATCCAATACTTTCTTTTTATTTCTATTTGTAAGACATACTAGATTTACTCCAGATTTTTCTTTGGAAAATGAAAGTTTTTCTTTCGAAAAATTTCCTTAGAAAATGAAATTCGATTCGATCGAGAGGAAACAGGAAAAGCTCGGAAGACGAGGAAGTTACACTAACTCGTGTTCAAGCTGGTGAAGGCTCGCGTTATGCTTTCGATCGCACGATAAGAGGGAATCACGTGCTCCAAAAAGAGACGAAGAAAGAGGAAATCCTCGGAGGCGAATCTCTTCCGCCTTCTTAAATATCCACCGACATAATTCATACGAAATCGAAATATCTTTTATTATTTTACGCTTTATGAGGAAAATAATTCATCGTTATAATCAATGTTATCTGAACAGGACTAATTAAAAATCCCCGTCATTTATAATTACCTCGAATATCCTAATCTATAACTGTGTTATTATTTACCTCGAGCTGCTGCTCGAGACGAGTTAACTCGTGTTTTCTCACTTTTTCTTCATTATGCATATAGAAAGGAAATATTTTCCCTTTCGAGATCTGGTTAATTGACCGACAATCTCGACGCATCTCTTGCGTTTAGGTATTATTTCTCCTCTTGGAGAATGGCTCTCGTTATTTCGAAAATTCATTTTTCTATGAAAAATTCGAAGAAGAATTTCCTTGATCGAATAAATCAGAGCGTTCGCGCGTCAATTAGAAGGGGAAGCGTCCGCGTTTTTCGGATTCGGCCTCCTCGCTTCCGGTAAGGAAAAGAAAACGTGGCTCTGATTTATCCTCTAGCAGCCAGCTCATTTCACTCTCTCGACTTCTTTAAAGCGTTTTACATTCGGATTCTCGCTGCTCGTTAATCACAGCGGAAAGGCAACGCGCTTCGACTCGCCTTCATTACCTATCTACCTGTACACAAACGAAAAAACATTCTATTATCGATAATCGTAAATAAAAATTCTCCTTTTTTTAGATAAATAAAATTTCCAAGCATTATTTATCCAAGAATCTGACGAATATTTTCCGGAAAAACTGGCAAACATGAATTGCAATTTAAAGTTCTAATTACATAGTAACCGTAGACTGATCGTGTTAGTCATTGCCCGTCGTTCCAGTAAGATTCACTCCATATCTGTCGACTCTGTTTCGCGTTTTTCACAGTGAGTCAACTACGGCTGACGTTAAGCTTCATTTTATCTTGTTTCGCGTTTGCTCATTACGAGAAACAACCTGAAAATTCAGCGTTGAACGAGCTACGTTACCACGTGTCGTCGTCACCGGCGCGTATCCTCCAACATGCTTAGATAACGTTGTAATCTTATTTGCTTCCCGGTTGATCCCCGACAGATTAAAGCGACAATGTTTCGCGGAAATCGGATGCTTCGCATGGGACCAAAATGAGAGATGAAACGCGTAATCACGATCAAGACTAATTCGGTAAAGAAAGTCTTACAGTCGTCCGTAATTTAAAGCGAAACACCTTTCAGTTTCAACTAAGAACTCGTCGTACTCGCGTTTCTCATCGCCGTTGAAAAGGAGCAATTTGTAAGCGTTTCGCAAGACGAGCCGGCAGAAAATGGGCTTTTAAGCGTCTCTGGTCCCACGCCATGAAGATCTGACACCGGACCCGCAAAACGGCCAACTTACCTACGTGATTACGCGCGTACGTGCGACGCGATGTGTCGAGCGGTAACACGCGTCCACACGCTCGACAATAGAACGTGCTACGTGTACTTCAGCCTTCTCTCTGACCGGCAAATTAACCGTGATCTCGTTCATTCCCTCTGCGAAAAATTAACGAAATTCCGATGTTTTTTTTTAAATTTATTTTTTCGACAGTCAACGAGACTCGAGCAACGAAATGAACTCTCTGTATCCGTGAGTTAGTTGAACCCGTGTGCCTTTGGTCGTCGTCGTTGCACTTGACCTCTCATCTTTCGACGAGCCTTTCTGTCCCTGTTTGGGACACACTCTGGACTCTCCGGAACGGAGCAGGTTCCGGACAATGGCACCGACGTTCAACACGTGCCGTTCGGCCACTCCGTACCGTTTTCCGTTGCCCGGTTCCTTCTTCTCCCGATCGTTTCCTCGTCCGCGAGCAGAGAAGCGTCGTAGAAGGAAACGACGTATCGTGCATGGCAAGTCGATGAATCGAGAGGTAATCGAAGAGGAGATCGATAAATTCAAAAATGGAAGCCAGATTTCTCTCGAAAGCGAACGGGGAATACTAAGTAAACGATCAAATCCAATCCCAATTTCTTTTCACCCCTTCGGTATCCAAATTTTGGAGAACCTTGTATCACTCGAACAACATCCCTGGTTAGTTAAAATGGTCCTCCTTACTCCACCTCCTGATCCCGTTACACTTCGAGGCTAGGGTTTACGTTTATGGTGTTACCTGCAACAGTAAAACCGTGTGGCCGGCATTCAGTGTTGATTTGAAATCTCTTAGGCGACAGCTATTCGCACGCTAAGAAATCTTTCCAAGATATTCGTCGACCTGGCCAGCTTAAGTTTTACAACTCGAAGCTTCTTTTCGTTTCTTCTATATTCCATGCGATTAAGTGGAATACAGATTTCATACGATATCCCCGATTTACAGAAGGTTTTCGATCCTCGGCACGGTCGAAAAATCGTTCGAACCGGAAAGTGAGAAGAGTATTCTCGTTTCACACGAGCACATCGAACGAAATGAGGCCAGCTTTCGACAATTTCGTGGCGTGCCCGTTGAATCGCAGCTGTTCCGTCGTTCTTCGTCGTTTCTCCTCTTCTCACGAAGCTGACGAGAAGGAAATGATGCCCCTCGCATAACAAAACCGACGGTACCCGCTCTTCCAGCCGCTCTTTTCCTCGAGTTGTAACGTGTAACGCGTAACTTATTACGTAATGGCCGATCGCGTGGAGTCGCGTTCCGTTTCGACGTCGATGCCTCGACGTGTTTGTTCAGTTTCTATTAGAGAAATTCCACCTTATTCGTTCGCTTCCACGATACTTTATGATTCTGTTCCCTCTTTGAAACGATATCTGATAACATCGTCGAGTGATCCATATCAAAACATAGAAAGTTTGACACGATTCGATGGCTTCCATTTGTTTCTTCCTTGAAATAATTAATCGTTCAATTAAACCTTTAGCCACAAATTGATACGGTACGAGTGCTATTTAGCGATACTTCATCGAATCGTGTCCGGATTTCGGAAACTGTGTACTCAGGAATCTTGCTCTCGATTGACGATGCGTTCCTTCTTCCCCGTCGTTTCTCGAAGAGACTCACGATAGAAGAAGGAAATGACAGCCCTTGCATAACAAAATGACGATACGTCAGAGCGTAGCACCGTTGCTTTCCTCCAGCGACGTGTGACACGCATTACGCGACAGATTCCTTGCACTTGCGCACGCCTGGAAAAAGGATTCGAGAAGTGTTCAAAAGCGGGAACGATTCTCTACTAGAATCTCTATTCTCTTTAATTTTATAGAATTATACTTATTTTATCTCACCTTTCTATGCCTATATTATTAGGGTAACGAACTATAAAATTAAATTCACCTTTTCGGTGAGGCATGTTCCTTAGGAATTTGCTTACGAACGGAATTGTCGATCATTTCCAGACTAAACAAAAGACCAACAGAAGTATAGATCTTTATTCGCAAATTCATGAAATACACGTTCGCACACATAGGCAGACGAGCTTAACGCGCGCCGTTGCTATGGAAGAGGTATTTCGAAATTGCGCAAAACTCGTCTCGTGTGACAACACAGAAACGGGACGCTTGTTATTGACTCATCGATCAGATCCAATTGGCTTAAGACTCTCCACCAATCTTTCCGTGAAATATTTCAATCGATTCTTGTACAGTCAGCCATCGATAACAGGTAATTATCTCGATGTGCCTTTTACTGGAGATTCAACGAGGAACAGTCGAATTAACTTTTGTAAAAATTTGTATAATCGTACGATTAAATGAGTTATTTGATCATTCTGATATACTTCTGACTGTCAGAATCCAGTGACAATCTACCGAGATATCTAGAAGGATCGTTTTCAAGGCTCGAAAAGTCTCGCATCGCCGATTGATTTCGCCCCGTCTGCGGAATAAGAGAAACGCGACGTTCCTGAAGACGGTGCCCGGCAAAATCTGCCGGGTACAGAGTTTCGCGGTGACGCTCGCTTCCAGCTAAAACGGTATCGCGATCTCATCGATTTTTATTCCACATTCCTTGTCACATAAGCGAATTCCATCGAACCGTCCGGGTCTTGGTCGTTTCCGATTCGTCGGCATTGCTCTGGAGCATCTTGAAAGACGAGGCAAAGCTGGAGGCGCGAGAAACGCAAGATCAACGTCATTTGATACTAGCAAAGTCGAGATCTTTACTTCTGCAATTCGTCCGAGTATATTAGTAGATTTCTCTTATATATCACCTCCCACGCGACAGACCTTGATACACGTGTAGCAGCTACCGTTGCTTAGAAATATTAACTCTTCTAACTTTTACACCGCTTCGCTGTTCAATGATTAAAGATGAAATAATTCTTTGAGAATAAAAAAGATAAGAAAGGAAAAGAAAGGAAGGAAAGAGCCTTACGGAAACGCAAGTTGGACAGAAAGTTTGTCCAGGAAATCGTATGCGATCAATGACCCCTCATTGTTGCAAACGATCACTGACTTGCATCCCAAATGGCCATAAAGAACCACGAATTTTCAATCATTCTCTTCCTTCCTTTTCTTCACGCTCTTAACGCGGCTTGAATGATACGAAGTTAAATTAACAATCGAATGCGTTAAGGGAAGTTCAATATCCGAATCGTTAACGATAGCTTTTTAATTAAAAGCTCGTGTTACGAACAAACAGAAGAGGTATCGTTCAAGATCGACTAGAAAATTGCTCGATTGAATAATACGTACAAGAATGTACCTAATTACGATAAAAGAGATCGCGATTGCAAAATGGAATGCTATTATTAAGTTGGTTTATTTGTATTTCGCGGGTAGATTGGCTCGTTAGTCGTGCGATCGCATAAGCCAGATAACCGTGGCTAATAGTTTTCCAGCTAGGAGGATGCACGCGAACCTTACAAGAAACATCCGCAAATTTTATCTGGACGTCCATTACCGTGACGTTTCCCGTGAACGATACACGTTAACAATAAGAATCACCGATTAAACGCGAACTGATCTACTCTCCTCGCTAATCTAACCGTGGCCGTACGTTTCTCGGAACGGTTGTTTCCATCTTTTGTCAACATTTGTCGCGATGATAACGTTTGATGGCTGATTAACAGCGAGGAGAGCCAGACGTGCCGGACTCTCGTTCGATACTTAACAATATTTTGAAAGTAATGATTCTACAGTAACAGTATTAGAATTTCAAAGGGAAGGATAAGAAGTCATTAGACTCGTCTACACAATCTTTCCTCGCAAATACCGGGAGAATGAAATTGTCCTGGCTGAAGAAGGAAATCTCGATAATTTGATCGTACAGTCCAGTGTACCGCTTCCTGTTACGCTCATCGTCCTCGTCGTCGATTTTCTTCGTCTTCTCAGAGGCCACTTTCGGACGTGGCATAACTAAACGTACAGCCTCGTGCAGCAGACCGAGAAGATGTAATAATTCTTTGCGCTCATGCGAGTTGCTCGCGCTTGAAACTCGGCTTCTGCTCCCGGGAGATCTGTTCACGGTATAGTAGCCGCGGAAACGTGGTCTCCTCTTTAAACTAGGATATTCAGTTTCGAATTTTCAAACGGATAATATGGATTTTTACCGATAAAAAGAAACCACGTGTCAGGTGTTTTTTCGAGTTCTATATCATATCAAAATTACATCGAGTTCGGTGTGAATCAGCTGAGCGATGACTTCCGCGAGATTGAAAATTTCGATTCGGGGAATTTTAGACGGAATTTGAACGTTATAGAATTTCTTATTTTTTAAATCGTGGAATGAAACTTTCGTACAGAATAGTGAAATTATTATAAAGCAATTAACGAATCTTTTCGATACCAATTGATGATTATTCGATAGCGAAGGAATCGAGGATCGTGTACGACACGGCAGGTTCTATATCCGCTCGTCCGGTTACTTACGATTAGACGCAGCATCTGCGTGGCCTCCTCTCGCCACCTGTGTACACGAACAGCATTATCTTCTCCCGCGAAAGAACACGGCTTTGTCATCCGCTCGACAAACTCGTAACTCAGTATATGTATATCTTCGACGTATCTTTCTCATACGACGTGGAAGATGCGACTGTTTGCACCGTCGTCGCGACCTGGCTGCAGATGAGCAGGACGGAATATTCCGCTTCCAAAATTTTCTTCCTCCGACTCGGCTTTTCGATGAATTCGATTCGATTGAATTCGAAATTTTGCAGTCCCTGGTTAGATTTCTACACGGGGACGTTTGAATTAAAAATAAGATCGCGAAACCCGGGGTGTTCGAAATTAATCCCAACAGAGTTACCAGCTTAAATAAATAACGATAATAATTTGAGAAAATAATTAGAATAATTCGAATTTGTATCGAATTCGATAAATTTAAGAAGCCTTCCTCTAACAAAACATATCTGAAAAATGAGATAAAAGTTTCAACCAAAATCCACGTAACTGTTCACGAGCTGCGCAAATCGCTGTTCGTCAGGGGAACAAAAAAAATTCCATCCGTTCTCTCCGAGGCTTTATCAAAGCTCACGGTATCGATATCGAATCCGTTGATCGAAATCTGCACACGGATGAAACTGGAGATTCGGTATCAGTCGCGGAAGATGTGTTCAATTCGCCTTAATGGTACGATAAAGCCAGTTCAACCTTAGCACGCGCTACAATTTTCGTATACATTCCCGGTGATCGAGAATTTTTATAAATCAGAAAGATCTATACCAACGATAAGTAACAAAGGATAAAGAACATATATCGGTAGAGTTAGACACCTGATCTGAACACGATAATGTTAATAAAGAAGAAAAGAGATGGTAATTTGTAAATAAAGCAAATCGTTGGATGATAAGTCGATTCGACTCGCTCGACGACCGAGTGGATCACAGATGTGCAAACAAGAAGAACGTCGCCGATGATTGGAGGCCGAAGAACCAGAGGATCTTATAAACATCCGTGGTTGATTTTTCGTATTTCATGGAAGTTTACTCGGGAAACAACGAGCAGCTCGATGTTGATGAATCGTTTCTTCTTAAACTCGTCTGATCGAGGAGTTCGATTGAAATCGAAGATCTTGGATCACGTAGACGTATTCCGTGACACTTGTGGATTTTATCACCCGCTATCGAAGCCTCGATAAAATTATTTCTGAGCTGCTCACCTCGTCGCGAATCGTATTTATCGTTACTCTGAATTATTTTCCAGACTCGCGACTTCGTCTACCGGAAGTATTAGTTTGATCAATTAATTCCGTAATCGAACCGCGATCCAGGAAGAAATGAAAAATTTGCGAATTCACAAACTTCGCTAGAATTCTTCGTTATAGGAAACTGGTTTTCAAAGAAAAATGACTCTCGGAATATTACCACCTATACATACAATTAACGTAAAAGAGCCGCGATCCCATTGTACCGACAGAATTAACTTAACCCACTTTTAGACCTTACCACTTGTTAGTCGCAGTGTTAATTAAAACATCGATCGAACCGTTTTACCCACTTACTCGTGTGCATTACGTGGCTAATCTCGAGAGAACATCTCCAGCGATCTATCAAAAATAAATGAATCGTTATTAACATGTACAAGGATCTTTTAAAAAATTCAATTCTCATCAGAGGATGGTAATCTGTACGCCCAAGTGTCTTAATTGAAAATTTACACAGTATTTACCGAATGTAAAAAGCTCGAAATGACAAATATTTATTATCCTTCGCAAAGTTTAATTATTTTCTTAGTTACACCATGAATTCTCGTAGCTACAGAACACACCTGTACCATTCTCTCTTTATATTTTTATCTCTTTCTTTCACCCACCCAAGGAGTATATGTAAAAGAAGCAAGGAAGTATATTTCTATAGGCGCCACGTCGTTTCAGAAGGTTTCCTGTTAGAGCTGCGATAATAGCTTCCCTCGTCTCTACAACAGATTTCTAAAACCGATACATCTACAGGGACGTTGATTGTTCAAACTTCTCCAATTGATCATTTTTTTTTTTTTTATCGCTCCACAATTACTTATTGTAAAACCTCGTTAATCCATCGTTCACGTCGTTCTGCTAACAATAAAATTCATGCAAATCCTCCTTTCCATGTGCCTCTGTGAACCCATAAGCAGCTCCTTTCACCGTTCACCCTTTCGTGGTAACGTTACATGAAAATCGGGTGTGTTTTTCCCTTCGGAAAACTGGTACGATTAATCAAACTTCCTTTCTCCTTTATTATATCCTCGATCGTTTGACTTTCCATGACGGATGCGTGTACATTTGTGAGGTTTTCATTCGAAAGCAATAAGTATCCGGTTTCAGATAATGAAAATAAAGAAAGCACCCGTTGCACAACTATTTCTCTCAGTATCGAAACGAGTTGATCAATTAATCGAATGCACATTGCCACGAGGATTTCCATATTTCCATATTACAATGTAAACAGCTTTCACGGTGCAGAGCGAACTGCGCGTTCTCACGTGGAATAATACCGCGTCGGTCTAGCGTCGAAACAATAAAAAAAAAATCTATTCGATGAATACAAACTAATCTTGGTGCACGCAGCACCAAGGTGCGTTCGTTCGTTGGGAGGCTGCATCGCGCACGTGGGAGACAGGTAGCTCGCTTCCGGTCGCTAGAGACCATTGTACGGAGCACACCGAGTCAACGCGTTGCAACCACGCACCTTCCTCTTCGCACACTCTGCTCCTCTTCTGCCACGCAAGTTGATCTTACAAAGGAATCGAGAAATAATTGAAAAATTTCAAAATCATCGAAAGGTAGGAAGAGAGGAAGTCTCGAATATCGAGGGCAACGAAGAACTTTGCGCGTGATCACGAAGGAAGCTGCGGATCGCACGTTATATTACGTGCTGCAACACGTACGCGTGTAATATTGAATCTTCGAAGGTATCGTGCGGTGGGTCTGCGCATTTCGTGCATCCCGTATAATGGTCTCCGGCCGCGGCGACCGGAAGTGAACTACCTGTCTCCCACGTGTGCGATGCAGCCAGCCTCCCAACGTGATGCAACGCAACACGGCCTGAGGTCGTGCGTGCACGCTGCATCGTACACGAGGACAAAAGCAACTATGAGTCGCGGTCTTCGTTATTCTTCGACCTCGAAATAATATTAACCCTCAACTAAGAAAATCATTTATCCGGAGGATGGTGATCGATCCTTAGCTCAAATTTCGAGAAACGAAAGTATCTCGATGAAACCTGTGCAAGGAAGTATCTCCATTCAGCCGAGTGGATGCAGGCGAAACCATACGGGAGAAAGCAGTGCATACCATCTGTTCGATACGACTTCCTTCACGAAAATATTTCCACTCCTCGCGAGCGCATCGTAAATTTTATATACCGACTTTTAAAGTAGAGAATACTTGTGACAAAAGTGTCTCTTCTATCGCGATGCCTGAAGAATAGGTAGATGAGATTCCAAAGGATCGAGCGAGGTACATGAAAGACGAAGAAAAAGGAGACGTTCTACAGGAAGGAATCTTCTCGCTGGCTTCGATGTCGGTGAATAAAAACCCACGAAGAGACACGCGAGAAGAAGAAGAGAAGTGAAACGGACCAATGGCCGCTTCTCATTCGTAATTCAAACAACGTCTCGTTCACAGATGAATGAGACTTCGGCAACACGGGAAGCATAAAAAGCTCGCGAGACGATCTGTAACCTGCTCCTCATCTACGTGGAGGTGCGTTCAAATACGTCCTTCTCGATTCTCTTCCCTTCGAAAATCAAACTTTTAACTAAAATTCGAATCTTCGAAATTCATCGATCTTCTCCCATGGAAAAAGCGAAGGAAAATAATTGGAAAAGGAAAGCAAAGGGTGTCTCGCGTGCGTGTTGCACATTAACGACACACATGCTGGAAAGTCGCAACCCCATGGTAGGTGGTTGATGAGCATATAATGGCGCAGGGAGGCTGAAGGGCGGCTTTCAGGGCGAGGCTAGACAGGTACTTATATTTACACAAGCCGCACGGACATCTGTTGTGTACAGGTAGTATGGGTACACATGAAAGCACACATACACGGATATATGCTTTCCGTCAAATCACACATGTCAGAGCTTTAAAACGTTCCTTTAAGTCTAGGAGGGAATATCGGTATAATTTATTGTAATTTAATAATGAAAAGAGGCAAAATTTTCTTTCTTTGAAATCTGCCACTTTGAAGGATTGCTAGGTATATTAGAAACGAACGATATTTTTGCTTGGTTGCATCGGACTGGTCGACTCGTTGTAACGACGTTGCTTCCAATTGCTGGTCATATTCTAACGGATAACCTACATTCGCGTCGAACTGATACGCTCATGGCCGTGTCCACGTGGATTAGCCAGGGTCCCTTTCGTATGCAACTTTCGTCGCTTCTTTTCCTCGTACACCTCTTTATTCGCGTGTATCTCTCTACCACACGAGAATCTATCGCGTCTGTATACTCGGTCAGATATGGTACGTAAATACCACGTACGTAAGTAAGTGGGTCTCGTACCGTTGTCTCGCGTTTCAGTCAAACGACCCGAAGGGGAATCATAGAATTGTCCGCGAATAAAAGTTTCTCGAACAGGTATATACCTGCTTGGTGTCCCATCGTCCATTCAGACGATTCTAATTTTGACTGATTTATTGACGTTTCCCTTTTTCTTTTTTGTCTCGACTCTTGTTCGTTTCCTCGAATGTGCTTTCAATGGCTAATAGGCGATCGACGGTTCAGAAAGCGTTCCCGATGACGGAGCCTGTTGAAACGAGTCTCGAATTTTGGTTCGTTCGATTATTTTATTTGCTGGCCAAGTTTCGAAAAGTGCTCTCGATTTTTTTTTTTGCCAAAGATAAACACACCCGTGAAATTCGTATCGAGACATTTTTCAGAATTCTTTGTACAAATAAGGGGACGGGTAATGGCAAATATTGGACAGTGATTTCATGATTTAAAGCAGTGATGCTGAGGACTATCGTGCTATCAATATTTCTATTTCCATTTATGGAAATCGTTAATCTTATTCGGTTTAGAAAATATCTATAGTATTGATAAAATATTAGGAACGTTAATCCGTTACTGCTGAATATGTCGAGGGTAATCGCTGATAAGGAATAGAATTTATAGAGCAAGGTATTAAAGTATTACCCGGCTGAAATTGGCGATCGTTTAATGGTAACGTTACCTTTCGAGTCTACCCATTTTTCGTCGATATTTCGTTCAGAGAAAGGAGAAGTTTCTGGGTAGCGTTCGATTTTTATCAGTGACGAGACTTTGACCTAATCCCGGACCGGATGGACCAACGGTGACATCACCGTTCAAACATGGGCGAGGAGAAGCAAACAAGAGCGATCTAATCGCGTGCGTCACTTATCAGCTTCGAAGCTGAAAGAGAAGTTATTGACGATGCAGCATCACTCTGCTGATTCCAGGACTTTCCTGTGGGAACAGCTTATCAACGAGGCCCACCACGTGAACGTCCGCATCGGATCGGCTCGGCCACGAGACCACGCGGTCGCCATCGACAGGTTTCCGTCCCGGAAACCGTGGTCGACCAGCTCCGACCTTCCCTTCTCTCTTCCTCTTTCGATTCCTCTCTGACTAACACTCGATTCGCTTGAAACTGGGAACAAGAGAAAATCGATAGCTCGTCTTTTTCTTTCTGTAAAACTTTATTTCGAAAACCATTCACTATCGTTCCGGTCGACGAGAAATCGTCTGGAAAATTCCCAATCGTAATAATGCAACAATTCCTATAGAAATAACCCTCGGATTCTTATACCTAAGCCATTAAGGGTATCTCCTCTCTAATCGCGACCCTTTAAGCTGTAAACGGCGACTTTCGTTCGCTAATCTCGAAGAGTTTCCTAAACGAAGCTCGGCAATTAGTCTCGCAGTACAATCTCAGAAACGTCTATCGGTAACGGCATCGGGATTTCAATTTTCCAATGTTCCATTTGCGATGAGAATTATCAAAAACTTTCGATGTGACACAAGTACCATATAAAACACCTTGTCATTGTAATTATCATAATCTTTCGTCAATTATTTGATTTCCTTATCTGTTGTGTGTCTCGTCTTAATTAGCTTGACTCGCAAACAAACGTTGCACGGGGTACCATTAAATTTTGATGAAATTCTCTTAGTGTAGTTGAGAAAAATCACGAACGTACCGAAGATTCAAGGGGAAGAAGCGACGTCGAGACGTCTAGGTGGTGCCATAATGTCATCAGCATCGTCTGGGAGACGTCATTAGCCATTCGAAGATCGGCCATTGGTTAGCCGTTTCGGGAACCTTCCTTTATGGCGTGCTAATAACGCGATTGCGGATTAAGCAGCTTTTCACTGACTTATTCAACGAGGCTCGTTGGCCAGAAACTTGTTAATCCCTTTTATTACGAAGGTCGTTTTACACCGATCCAACCCCTGGAACAAGGGAATGGGTACCACAGAGTTTCCCAGAATCGCGATTCTCCAGTTAACAATATTTGCAAATGGAAATTTTCTCGTGTACCGCTTTTAAAAAATTTGTCGACTATGATATAATATTTGGAAAGATAATTGGACCACGCGTTTGAAGGGACAGCAAAGAGAGAAATTAACAGACTCGCTCGTTTTTGCAAATATTATCATTCGAAGATCTTAAACTCCGCTCGATAACAGTTATTTGCTTTTCAGACCTCTTGTTTTATTCATTTTCGCAAATACTATCATTCGAAGGATTTTGTATATTTGCAGAATGAAAGACGGTAATCCTTCATTTTAATTGTTCCTGCAAACATTGTCATTCATGTGATTTGTCTTACAAAAGTTTAACCCTCATCTTGGAACACTTGTGCCACGGTAATCAGTCGAATGAAATATAAATTCCAAGGAATTTGAATGGCAGAACAGCGTGTCCCATCTTTCTGGAATTCTCCTCGACTTGATTGCGTACCAATATTCCTGTCGTTATGCCTAGAATCGCTCAGGTATGGAGACAGGTATGACCGAGTCCCTTGGTTAATTCCACGTGAAAGGCAAGCCGCGTTGAACGCGTAAATTATACACAGCGTTACCGTTTCCCCAAATAATACCTCCTTTGTGTTTTATTTTCTCGCACGACCATCCCTTGCAAATCCTTTTGTTATTGTTAAAAACAATATTGTAACGCGACGATCAAGCGCGAGTTACTCAGTTTCTGAGTTTCGCTCGAGAAACTTACGATTAATAATGATTCAATTTTCGAAGTCACTGACTCGGAAGCGAACCTTCTCGCTTTCAGGTAGAAGAGGAAACGGTTAAAAGTCAACTACCATCCTGATCTTTTCCTTTTTTTCTTCCGGGATTCAGTTTGACTTCCGACAGGTCCAGGCGCGAGATATAAATGACGAGGGTAGCTTCTTTCTCCACCCCTTTTCTTTTTACCTCCAGGTCACGATGGACCATCTGGACATCGCGGTCAATCTCTTTACCCTTCGTTTTTATATAATGAACGATACTTGACGAAATCGTCTCAGGTAAGCGATATTAACATACGGCCAGCCTGGACACCTCTCGGAATACGTTACGGGGTAGTTGCTCGTTGTTTCGTCCGATGGTCCTAATGTCTCGGGGTACAATAATACCCGGAGTTAACTATTGTCCTGCATTATTTTATTGGGTCCAAAGATGCGGCTGTTTGACCAACAGACTTCGAAGATTACGTGCTTTTTGTCCGGGGCCTCAGGTATAGGATCTCGGGATTTTACGGTGGCTCGAAAGGGGTTGAGGAAAGGGGGTGGCTGGTTTAAGTTCTAACGATTAACCCGTATAAGCACAACGGAATTTTATTCTTTGTACATTTCTAATTTTTCCTATATTTTATACATATTAATTTGAAACATGAAAGTTAGGTGGTAAAACCGCTTAATTCTCTGAAACAGTTCGCTGAGTATTGTAGTTATTGCGTGATTGAATTCTCGTTACTTCTCTGACTGGCGACGTATTTACCGAATAACGACAATAATTGCAATAAATGTAATGAAGGTATACCATTATACCGTGTAGGTCCCGCAAACGAACCACTTTAACCAACGCCTTTTATTGCTGCAATAATTGTTCACCTTAATTTATTGCCTGTCAAAGACTACTTCTCCAGACTGCAGACTGTACTAGAGTCTCTAATACACAAGGCGACGAACATTATTACCAAAATTACCAACTGATCCCTTTCTATTCAGCCCGTTGTAAATACGTATCTCCGTGCGGGCAAATAAGAATTTGGTAAACCCTTTAAAATGACAAAGTCCAAGGGTTCCTTCCTTCGAACATCGTCCTGTACCTGTAATAAGAGAGGGCACCGTAATAATTGTCGTCTTTCAAGTCAAATCGCTACTTTCCATAGGAATATTTGGACCAGATAATTTATTTCACCGCAAACGTTGTCTGTACATAGTATAGATTTTGTGTAATAATTATTACTTAATTATTATTCATCGAGGAAAGGTAGCCGATGATTATGAAAATTGATCAATTTTCACGGCTGATTTTATATTCGCCATTATTCTAAACGAGCTGACGCAAAAGCACGAGCAAGTACATTATCTAACGAAACTTTAATGCTCGGTCATCCATCCAATGACGGTGACCTTGCACCTTATCGACGCTGACTATCGTCGTAATTTTCGCGATTCGAGGCTAGTGCAAGATTCGCTATTTCTATGAAAAGAATCCCCTTGTTTCTTTTTTTATTTCCAACTTTGCCTTTGATGAATCCATCCATCGACCACGTATCAGGGGTTCTCTTAGTTAAATCGTGACATTTCTTTTCCTTCCGAAAGTAAGGAAGGGGAATTGTAATCGACTGATTCGAAGCTACTGCTCCAAATTCTCTGACTCGTTTTCAAATATCCGCTCGGTTCGCACGGCCACCCCCGTGGCCGTTTTACGTAATTCCCGTTGCATCGCACGGGGAACGGGTGCATCGGTGCACCGTTGGACGGCTCGCGGATGCGCGGGACCGATCGAAAGGGGGAAGCGTATCGGATCCAAAGGATCGCGCCTATCCTCCCGCTTGGCATGACGAGGCGGGTGTTCGCGCGCGCCTGCGATCACGTACACATCGAACCGAACGGAGCCGAAGGTGCACGGGCGGCCGCGGGTGCGCGCGACCGCGACCGACGCTGTTACACGACGTTGGCATAGGTACAGATTGGCATCGGGTGGGGATAGATAGAGCGGAGAGAAAGAGAAAGGCCATCGCCCAAGTGCGGCGAGAGGGGATGATAGAAGCGTGGGAGGGGTGGCAACAGCAGGAGCCGAGAAAAACGATCAGAATCGAAAACAGAGACAACCGAATGCAACGAGGATGACCTGAAATTTTATGTATGTGTAAGGGGGAAGTAATAAAGGGGTTGCAACTTTCAGATCTGATACGATAAAAATATATTTCAGATCAACTATTTTTCCCCCAAATCTTACATGAACGCATACATTAAGCGTAACATTTATCAAACTCGTCTCTTCTACCCGTGAACACATACAGAGAAACCGGACATACGCTTCTCCGGTAGAGAACACGTAGGAGCACGATGCAGCCAGGCGGGAGAAGTTTGAGTCGAATGGTGGGGATGACCGCAAGAGACTCGCGAGAGAAAAAGAAGATAGAGCGACGAAGGAGCGGTGAGGATAGAGTAGGATAGAAGGAAGGGAGAGTGGTACCCGGAGGAGATCCACGGGAGTAGCCGAGCGCCACGGCAGAAGGGTGTACGACAGGAAAAAGGGGAATAGGAAGCGGTGAAGAGGTTGAAGGGTAGCCTGGTAGTGGGAGAGGCAAGGCACGGCACGCACCGTAGGTCTCTCCGGAGAGTCGAGAGGGAGGGAGGGAGAGAACAGGTAGGAGGGATGATGAGGCTCGGGCGCAGGCTGGAGAGAAATTGTCAGAAGCACCGTGTCACTTGTCCGTGGTGAGTCGGCCCGTCGTGACCTCAGCTGGACCTGGCTTTTGCGTGTGCTTCCCCACCGCGTCGCATCCTTCTTCTCTCTCGTGGGAGCCGTGGTAGAGGTGTCCAGCGACCCCTTCGAATTCCCACCGGTCCTTTTACTCGTCCATGATCCTTCGTCGAGCGAGCACGCATGGATGCGACGCGTCGAACCAGTGCTCCAATCGACACGGTGATGGTGACCGTTCCGAGGGAAGTGTAGCAAGATATATCGAGCCACGGAGGCTGACCCTCGAAGGACTGATCCCTTGGAAGAAGCAACCAATTTGTTTCTTACGATACTTTTATTTAACTGTTTGTGCGACGTTCCGATGCGAGTTTCGTAGAAAACAGTGAGAAATCGAGAGATTGACCGGTCCGCGAGTGAGACCCCGATGACGAAAGCTCGTGTTAAGTGCAGAATCTATGGATATTAAGTGCCGGGACCTAATTAGCTACTCCATGAGTGTACCACGACGCTGACGAGGGAAGCATGGATTGCTCGACGAAAGGTACGTTTCAATATCCAACGATGATCATCGATAAATCAAGATATTTTTTCGTTGTTTCCACCTCTCCTCGATGGTGATGGCTAACGTAGCTGCTGGTAGGGTTTTCGATTTAAAGATGGACGTGGAGAACCATCTTCGGTCAGATTCGTTTAAAATGAATTTTTCTCAGAGAAACTTGACATAACTTTTATTCTACGTTATCTTCCATTTTTTATCGGCCGTTAAATGTATATAAATGGGAAAGAGAATTGATCAGAATTGTCTTCGTTTACGTTTTTTTTTTTGTAATGACACTGTCGATGACGGTCGAAAGAGAAGAGGAAAAAACGATCTTTCGCTTATTATTGTTTTAACGATCGGTACATTGTTTCTGGATGTTGAGCCGATGGTGGCGTTAACGTCGATTTATCTGTGGCATGGGAATAGCTATTCGGCTCTGAGACAACGGGATATACTCGGAAACGACCGAAATTCGATGGCTAATGAGTCGAGAGTTTGATGATGAACGAACAGCAGATTATTATCGTTCGAGGCCCCGTTGTCTCGCGCGTCTTTCGATTAACACACAAAATATCGATGCCTATCGGTATCTCCATTAACTCGGCATAATGGGATTTTCGTTTCAAGAACACGATACGTTCTTCGTTCGAGTGTTATCCTGCTAATGTTTCGCTGTAATCAACGATAATCAACATAGTTGTCAAAAATTGTTTCAATTCATTTAGATTCTTCTTTGTAATTCGAGAAAAATTCCGAGTATTCGTAGGAAAGATAAAGTTCTACATTGGAAGTGAGAGAAACCACAAATCTCTGAATCATCACGATATGTGGTGCAGTTCTAACCAGATGATTCTTGTCATCTAATTACTTACTGCAATTTTTATCTTAGCATATTTAAAACAACAAAAAATCTAACTTCAAGAATTCACGAATTCCTGAGTCATCTCGATGACTCTTCAAACAGATAATTCTCCTCTTCCAGTTAGCTACTTAAATTTTTACGTAAAAATCAGTAGAAGTTGAAAAATGAAATATTTTTTTTCCACTTCTATCATCTGCGGCGATAAACAGAAACGTGTCTGTGGTGTATTAAATGTCCAGCGATCGGTCCCGTTCCAATATGGCGTCTAAAACGGAGCAGAGGCTAAAATTCGCGCGTCCGTGGAATGAAAGCTTACGAGATAACGAGATTACCCGGATCGTCGGTGACGCAGTCCCGTGTATCCTAGCAGCAAGCCAGTTTCCAGGAAGCTCGAGTATCGACTTTTTTCCGTTGCTGTTCGATAGACGGAAAGCAAGCTTATCCTAACTTCTCGTATCATCAATTATAAGAAAAAGAAGGAAAGGCGCGCACGGAGATTCGAGACTGACGTGTTTGAATTGTAATCTATCGGGAAAAAGAGTCGACAGTCCAAGTAGATAAGGACCTCTTCTCTTATCTGTGGAATTATCTTTCGAGGTGTTCTCGTAAAAAGGGCCAACCATCTTCCGAGGATCGTGAAAGAAATTTTCAAATAGGTATTTTCCTCGAATACTTTCAACATTGTCTGGACCAAGATTCATTTTTAACGCTTATTCAATTGAAATTATATAAATTTCAATTTTATCTTCGAATTATCTACTAATCGATTTCGATCAATTCATTTTGGTGATAATTAATCAATTTCTTCTTTCATTGATTTCTGACCCTCTGCGCAGAGATAGCTAATCACGAAATATGAGAAAACCAGATTGAAATTTGTTTAATCTTTCGGTCGAGTATCCGGCATTGCACTCGAAATTTCTCCGCTTGATTTTATTAATTAAACACCGATTATTCGTGATTTCTGGCCAAATATTCGGGTACAGGTGTACGGAACAGATTTGAAAAGGACAGATCGAGTTTGATGGAGGGTAATAAGCGCGTTTTCGTACTTTCCGAAGGGTCGGTAAAAGGTGAATCTGGGCGTGGCGTGGAAAGTCAACCGCTCCTTTTTCTCGCCCCTTGACGATTTCACCCTCTGGACGAGACGTCCTAATTAACGTTAGTCTCGTCGACCACCAGGGAAAATTTTGCTTGCTATCCTAGCGTTCGTGTCTCTGAATTTCATCCTTTAAATATTATTTTTGCAACATCCGAATAAATTCAAATATGAAAAATAATTCTCATTATGATTTTCAACTATAACCTGACACGAATTGCTGGTATCTTGGCGTGAAGAAAAGTGAGAATTCGTTCCAGGCGCTAGAATCGGTCTCTGCATATAACGCGGGGGTGGGTATAAATGACAATCGTGTCCGGGTATATGCGGAAACACTCGGTTGGGCCACGTATACGCAAGATTTCTTTACGTGACATCCTTTACCGTGGATATAGATGGACAGTTGGCCCCGTTGGTCAATAGCAACGGTCGAGAGCAACTTAATGGGCCGAACTGTCGTATAATTTCTTTCTTCGACCATGTTGGATCGAAACGTTGGGAAATTTGTTGAATTTAACGAACTGAATTGTTGAATTTATTAGAGGAAACAATAATTTGTAATATAATTTGTATTTAAAAATGAAGATTTATCGAACGAAAGCAAAACTTGATTTAAAGAGATTTCACGATATCGAAACGGAGAAAACGGAATAGAATTCGAACATATCGCGATCGTCCATTCGTTGTGGTTCCGCGTGGCCTGAGAAACCATTTTCCCCGCTTCGATCCGCGCGCGGAACGTTGCCTCCTTTCATTTTCCGCCCGCTGGCTTCGCTCGTTCCCAAGAAAATCCTGAAAACGTGAGAATCGTTGTCCCCTTCCCGATCGATTCTTCGATACGGGATAGGTAGAATCGATACAGAAAATATGTAGCTGAAAAACTTTGACAAGTTTTTGATTTCTTATTTTAAATTAGAAAATTCACGTCGAACATCCGCGATCCAAATCGTTTACGGGCGCAACTTTTTCGTTTCGCTTCGAACCAGAACGATCTTATTGTTAGGCAATGCTTAGCCTGTTTGCTATCGAGATCTAGAGGTCATTTCTTCTGTTTACACGCAGGCAGATCAGCGTTTTCGAAGAAAGTATGTCTAGTCGATCATTCTCCGACGAGATAATGCTGTGTTTCGAAATCGTTCGAACCAGTGTTGTGTATTATGTTCGAACGAATGATTTAACTAAATTGATCCGAGACAAACACAACATATATCTACTGTATGGAAGATGATGCTCTTTAATAAGGAAATCAAGTGTTCAATTACAAATCCAACCGCGATAACTTCTGATATTTTGAGATATCGATCACCGCGAATGTTAGATCATCCGTTGTAAGTTTTCGACCGTAGACACGCGCCTTATTTTTTCGTGCAAACTTTGGACCCCGTAGAAATAGAATCTAATCTCACTAATCTGTATGAAGAATCCATTTTCGGGCACAGATAAGACGAGGGTTATCCTTGTCCCTTTTGCTCTTCTTTTTCTTTTCATCCGCGTGATGATTCGCGTAAGTCTGCTGTTACTTATTTGTTTATGTTAATCAAAGTATTAACGGGTTTTTAACCAATGAAGATACTGTTCAAAGAGCCCCGTTACAAATTCAAATTACACCTTGATGTCTCCCCTCCTGCGGCAGCGCCCCTGTCTGTCCTTCCTCCGTTCTGCATCATGTGTGTCCCCCTGAAAAGAGAGGAAACAAGGAGAAAAAAAAAGCGTGTCACCCACGGGTAAGAGCATGGAGGGTCGGCAGAGAGGGTGGCAGGGTGTCACGGCTGGGTAAGTCCAAGGTTGTCAGGGCTACGACTCTCGAAACACACTAACCGACCGCCATCTTTGCTTCTCCTGCGTGCTGCGTGGGTGTAACCGAGCGTGGCGAGAGCGGGGCGAGGGAGAAACAGAGAAGATGGAGAAAGAAAGCCGACGTCGGACACGCTCGAAAGAACGAGATGAAAGAAAGAGAAAGAGGAAGGATGAAAATGGTGGGAGATAGGGGAAGATGAGAGAGAGCGTGCGGAAGGTGAAAATTCCGAGAAAAGCGATCGAATTTTCATTTACGTTAATTGAGAAGGAAAATTTTAGAGATTTTAATAAATACCTAGTTTTTACTTCAGCGGAGGATAGGAACAAAAATTTAAGTATAAATTAAAAATTTTTAGTTCTTTAGAATTTTAATTGAAAAATAGAAGGGTCTTTTTATAAATAATTGCATGATAAATAAAAAGAAAGAAATGTGACAATGAGATAGAGAGGCAGAGTCGGTGAAAGAGAGAGAGAAACGAGGAGAGGAGGAGGATAAGGAGGAGGTGGTAGTGCGGTTGGCGAGTGGGGGAAGTTAGTGGCGGGACGGAGAGGGAAACGAGATAAAAGCTCGGACAGATGAGAGGCGACCAATGGGTGAGCATCTCCCCACCAATGATTCGAGCGCAGCATCCTATGATTCGTAGGAGGCACGGGTTGGCGGAAGTGCGCATGTACGCCCTCGATCAACTGACACTGCTCCCTTTTCCGTGCTTCTCTGCGACGCGAAACCTACCCCAGGGGGTGCATTGCAGATACAGGGCGTGGCGTTTGGCCCTTTGCAATGTCGCCCTTCGTTCTCCGCTTTCATCCCCTTATTTCGTTTACCTCACAAGCCGGAAACTATTGAAATTTCCAGTTTCCTCCATTTAATAATATGTATTTTAAGACGGTAGAAAAATAGAAATCAGTTTTTGTGGTTCGCAGAGCCTCGTAACCATCGGTCTCAAACGATCGGTGATCGTTAGAAATGGAAAGCAGCTGAATTTCCACTTTGCCGCGAATTTCACCGAGAGTCATGTGTCTTTCTTAAGACGTTTCAAAGTTCTAGAGATTCTCGAGTGCACTCATCATACTTCTCGCATGCGATCATCACGATCGCGCCTTTCGATGATCGAGATATAATATTATATTTTAAAAACAAAATTTCTCGAAATCCAGATAAGGTTAGTCAGCTCCGTCGCAGATAAGTAGTTTTTTTAATCTGTTAGATAAATGTTTATTTGCTATCCGTTGCGAAATTATCAGCCAGGAACTTTTGCGAATTTCTCATAATTTCTGAGTAAGGTGTGCATCAAGCGCCAATCGCGGAGATAATCTCAAAGCAAGCTGAAATAAATTCTATTTCTTCAATTAGAAAGGTAACGTAACGTAATTCCAAGTAAAATTTGCGACTCTCGGGGCACCTGTTTACCAGTAAAAATTTCCCAACATTTGAAAAGAGTGTCAGGTTACGTGTCGGTCAAAATATCGCGTTGGTTAACGAACGTTAACCCCGTGATTTCGCGTTCCGTTTCAATCGGCATTCTCTACGATCCGTCCACGTGACGGTTTCTCGGCAAGCGAAAAACGAGTCCCCGTTGGTCGGTAAATCATTCGTATCGAATTTATTCGCGCGTTTAGCGCGAACCGGCTCGCTAAACGCGAACGCAAACCGCAAGCTAAGTCGTAGTTAAACGACCGAAAACCCGTTCCGTCCGCGTGATTTACGTGCATGAATAAAGTCACCTGTGTGCAGCCAGTGGCAGCAGGTACTACGTACGTTTGTCACCGGAGAACGCGGGTTTAATCGAGTTCATTCGCTCGCACCTGTCTTCCCCTCGTCAACTTGTCGACGACCTGTCCTCGTAAAAGATCAAATTACCCACCTTAACATTTTTTTTGTCAATTTACTTATTTCGCATCGATTCAGAATTCACAGCTTTAATGTTTTTTAATTTTTCTCTCAATTTAATTGAATTTTTCTTTTAATTTAGTCACTTGTATATTCGTGTGGACAGTAGCTAGAATCGTCCGATGTTTCTCAACATCTCTAACTCGCTCGAACGACAATGATCTTAAGGTCGGCTAACCGTAGATCGAGATAACAGGGCGAGATGTTTTGTCTGCTTCCTGCTACGGGCCGATAATGCGAATCGACGCTGCGCGATTGTCAATAACGCTTAATCTAATTGCTTGTCGGATGAAAAGAATACTGGAGATAAAGGCCAACGCGTAAGATCATAGTGTGCATTTTAGCTCGATCAAATAAATGAAACTATACTAAATTATTCATTGATATTATATTGTATGACTGTTCGCAACGTGACAGCCAGTGTTATTTTGTTTTTCTTTTCGTTCTCTGATATCGTTCTCGGAAGTAGCCCTCGGAAGGAGCCACGTGAAACGGCATCGAAAAGCCGCGTAAATAAGGACGAGTGTGGTCAAACTCTCCGATAAGTGTCATTGTCCCAGCTCCGGCCCGTTCTTTGCGGTCTTGTATCAGCAGTTTCCGGAATACGCGTGCACAGCCTTCTGGCGACGCGATCGTATCCTCCTCTAGGACAATTAAAAACATTTACAAACAATACGCAAGACTGTTATCAAAGGGGGAGAGCTATTTTTCTTCCGTGCAATTGAGATCGAGTAGACGGCAATAATCTTCTTTGAATTAATTGTCAAATCTCAGAATATATGCGTCTTCCTGTTAATAACGATGGATGTTTGGTCTGGTTTCAGTTACCGTCAAGAGCGGATCCGATCAGGGACACGAGAGCGAAACGCAAGCTGATGCTGCATCGTCTCCGTCGAGCGTAAGTTGTTCAACCCGATACATATTCGTTTCATCGGCGTAATTAAATTTGTAGGATTCATGCTAAATTTAAAAATAGAACTTGGGAATATTGATCAGCGAATATTTTGTATTTTCCTGAAATAGATCTTTTCAGGTGCTTTGTCCTTAACGCGTTCCACTCGTCTGTTCCAGGTGGAGCTGCCAGAAAGCGCGCATCCTTGTCCTGCCTGTCCCACGATCCTGCCGAGTTGCAGGGAGCTGACGAACCATCTTCGTGGCCACAATTCGCCCCGCAGCACCGATTGCAGCGGCGAAGAGGACTATTGCTGCGGAGTGTGCAACAAGGTGCTCAGCTCGGCTAGTTCCCTGGACAGGCACGTGTTGGTGCATTCCGGGGAACGGCCGTTCAAGTGCAAATACTGCGAAATGGCGTTCACGACGAACGGTAACATGAACAGACACCTGAGAACGGCGCACAGAGGCGCGTCGTTGAACAGCTGCACCGATTCAGAGGGTAGCAGCGACTCGGAGAAGCCCACGAAGAGAAAGCACATGGAGGAGTACAACAACAACGAGATCACTAAGAGGAACTCGCCTGACATCATCGACAGAGAAGAGAGATCGCCGAGTTTGGCCACTAAAAGAAAGTGCACCGACTATCTGAGCGATAACGAGAACCAGAAGAGGCACAAGATCTTGATGAACAATTCAAGGACCGAGATCAAGTCGTCGCCAGACGATAACCAGAACGTTTACAATTGTCCTGTATGTGGTAGACAGGACTTTGCCACGAGTGCACTCCTGGAGGCGCATCTCGAACGAAGTCACCCGGAATTCCCCGCGAAATGCGACTCCTGCAATCTGTCGTTCAAGAACCACCGGGTGCTGAACCTGCACCGGTTCATGATCCATTTCGCGGATCACTCGATCGGAAATACAGCGAGGAATCTGAGGAACTCGGTGGTAGGCTTCAACGATCTGACTTTCGTGGATTTCTCGTCGGACAAGTTCCCGGCGATCGCCAGGGCGATGTGCGAACAGTCTCTGCACAGACCAGCCTCGGGAGAGGTGGCCAAGTTTCAATGTTCCAAGTGTCTGCGAGCATTCCCCTGTAGGTCTGCTCTAGATGCCCACGAAATCGATTGCGGCACGACCAACTCTCACGCAAGGGTGACGGACGACAATCAGTCCAGACGCGACAATTTCTTCGCGGGCCTGGATCTGCAGAACAAAGCCGCCCTGACGGAAGCGAAAGAAGGAAAGGATCTCGCCGATATCCAGAGCATCATATCCGTCACATCCGGTCCTATACTGCAAAACTTTCCTCGATCGGACGCCAGTACTCCTGAGAATAACATCAAATACACTCCCAGTTTGAATTCGTCCGGCTCGTCTGGCGCGTTCTCGTCCGAATATCACGAAGAGGAAGCTCAAGACGCGTTCGCGGCCGAGTTCAGGAAGATGAAATTGAAGGGGGAGTTTCCCTGCAGACTCTGCTCGGCGATATTTCCAAATTTAAGAGCGCTGAAGGGTCACAACAGGGCGCACATGGGTGTAGGACCTGGCATGCCGTACCCCTGCAACATGTGTCCCTACACCAGCACAGACAAAGCTACCTTAGTCAGACATCTAAGGTCTCACAACGGTGACAGACCGTACGAGTGCTCCCTTTGCAATTACGCTTTCACCACGAAGGCGAACTGCGAACGTCACGTGAGAAACAGACACGGTAAACTGACCAGAGAGGACATCAAAAGCGTGCTGATCTATCATCCGAACGAGGACTCGACGAACGAGAACGTGGAGAGGAGCTCTCCCAGGGTGATGAAGGACAGCGACGCGAGGAAGAGTTTAGTTTATCCCAACGAACGTCCCGAGTTCCAGCACCAGGCTCAGGTACACTATCCTCCGACGCCCATGGACGTCAGGGGTGAGATCAGGATAATAGAGGAGGCGAAGTTGCACAACTCGGCGATTTCGATGCACAATGTGGCAGCGAATCATTTTGAGAAGAGCGACGCGTTCTCGAGACCCAGCCAACCGATCGAACTGACGCAACGGAATCTCGAGGACACGAAATCCACCCAGGATACCAAGTCGGACTACTCGAAGCTGGACGAGGATCTTGAGTCGAGGTCGTCGGAAGGCAGCGTGTCTCTAGTCAGTGATACCAAATCAGATTCGCACCAAAGAATACAAGCTAGTCCGATGAACCTGAAGAAGGGTCTTAACGTGTCAGAGAACGCTGCCGGGGAGGATGGTCCCCTGGATCTTTCCATGGACGTGCTAGACCTGAGCAAGAAGTCGAAGGACAAAGACGAGAACGATTTCGCCGCGTCGCACGAACAATTTGGAAAGAGTCAAAAGGACTTGTACAACACCACTAGTCAGCTGCTGTTAACCGAGGCCCTATTGAAAGCTGGACAAGGTACCTCTCAAGCAACCTCGTTGGAGGCTCTTTACGCGAACGCGATTTACAGAAACTTCGGTACGTTCGGTGCTGGTGTCGGGGCAGGCATTCTGCCACCGTACATGTTCAATCCTCACGTGTTCGGACAAGATTTCTCGATGAAGGAAAGGCTACAGAAGGAATTGGTCAGAGGTCTGCAGCTGACCAGCGGAGGTACTTTGGTCGAGCCTTCGATCGGTGCCGCGGGATTTACAGCGTTCGCGCAGAGCAGAGAATTAAACTCTCATTCGGCAAGCGAACAGAACGAATACGCGAAACTGATCTCCGCGAAGATGGCGAGCAAAGCTCTGTCGAATCGCGACAAACCCGACAACATATCCTCTTCCAACTCGGTCAAGATGGTGATCAAGAACGGAGTGTTGATGCCGAAACAAAAGCAAAGACGATACAGAACCGAGAGACCGTTCACCTGCGAACACTGTTCCGCGAGATTCACTCTAAGGAGCAACATGGAGAGACATATTAAACAGCAACACCCGCAGCACTGGAGCCAGAGACCCAGAGGAGGTCACTCGACCAGGGGAAGGCCTCCATCCAGTCACCCCACGTTGCTTCAGAATCTCGGACAGCCCGCTGCTTCTCAGGCGACTCAGTCTTACACGAAAATCCTGCCGAAAGTTGAACAACCATCGAACTCGGACTTCGCGAAACATCCAATCTCCGATCAAGTGAAGTACGCGATTCTGGCGCAGCAGTTGAAAGCCAACAAGATGGAAGAGAACGATTCCGAGGAGGAGCTCGTGATCGACGAGGATCCCCAAGATAAAGACGGTCAAGAATCTCAGGATCAGAAGGAGAAGAGTTTGCTGAGAGGGCATTTAGAGGGTGCAGATACTTCGAAAGACACCGTGATGAGGGACGAGGCTGAAGAATCCACGAAAGACGCCTCGGAGATCGGAAACGTCGAATCGGCGAACAACGAGAACAACGATGCCGAAGATGCCAAGGCGTCGGACTCTATGTCGGAGAGACCAACTGAAAGTGAGAACTCGCAGGATAAGACACAGAATCGAGCGTTCAAGATCGAATCTACCGATGACAAAAGTGAGAAGGCGGAAGATGGTGTGACAGACCTTGCGAGCGTTTCTGAATTATTGGATAACGCTTCTCAACAATATCAACAATTCCAACCGCAATATCTGAGCGACGAAGAGGGACTGGTAGCCTCCCATAGCGACTGCAATAATTCCGGCAGCGACGACAAGTCGGACTCGGTGAACTCGTTGAATTCCGTCAGCATCTCGTCGAAGAAGAAGAAGAAAAAGAAGAAGAAGAAGAAGAAATCCGCGTACTCGATGGCACCGAATCGCGTCATTTGTCCATACTGCGAACGACCTTTTCCCTGGACATCGTCCCTCAGGAGACACATCCTCACGCACACGGGACAGAAGCCTTACCAGTGCATGCACTGTTCCCTCTTATTCACCACGAAATCCAATTGCGACCGTCATTTGTTGAGAAAGCACAAGGCGAACCCGAACAAGGTACGTCGAGCCAGGAACTCTTCTTCTCCCGATTCGCAGGCGGTCATCAGCAACAACAACTCCTTCTCTATGAGAAACGTGCCCGAGAGGCCGTACAAATGCAACCAATGCCCCAGCTCGACATTCTCCACTCTGGGTAACTTGAAGAAGCATCGTTCCACGAAACATGCTCGTAAAATGAAGTCTAGGTCCGATACTCCGTCCAGCGAGCCGCAGAACAGCCCTCAGGAGTGCAGCAAGCAGAACAACGAGCAGACCGATTACGACAGTCAATCGTCCAGTGTATCCGAAGGTATGGAGACCTCTTCGGTGCCAGGACTTCCTAAATCAACCTCGAACACTTCGCCGTCGACCAACGACACGTCAAGATCGAGAAGACCATCGCCGAGGTCATCCCCAGGACCTAGCGACGTACCCTTCAAGTGCCACTTGTGCGACTGTGGTTTCGCAGAGCGACAGGATTGCTTGGAACACATCAAGGTGAATCATAAACGGTCGTACGAGATGCTGGTGGCGAAAGGAGCTCTGGATATGGATATAGACACCGTGGAGGACCAGCAACAACCACCGCCTCAACAGCACACCAGCGACGGAGAGGAGAAGAGAGGACGTTTCCCGGATTACAGTAACAGAAAGGTACATTTATTGTTTTTTTTGTTATCGCACACCTCTAAAGTCCTTCCTAGGAATATGTACTTGTTCTGTAACAGATCAAGCATTAACGAAGAATCGCGGCAACTAAAAGAGCCAACATTTCCAGGTGGTCTGCGCTTTCTGCATGAGGCGGTTCTGGTCCGCGGAGGATCTCCGTCGTCACATGAGGACGCACACAGGGGAGAGACCGTTCTCCTGCGACATTTGCTGCAGAAGGTTCACCCTGAAGCACAGCATGCTGCGTCACCGGAAGAAGCACGAGTCCATCGACTCGACGATGTACGTTGGCACCAGCGGCGACGAGGAGAACTCGCCCACCCAACCGCCTACGATCACGCCTCGAACTCAACAGCATACCCCGGTGTTGATCGGGGCCAATGCGGGAAACCCTCAGATTTCAGATAGAATCTCTTTATCTAGTGTCGCTCCAGTTGTCAGCGGTGATGCAACGCCCAGCGGACTGATGAGATTCAATCCGTACAAGAAACTGACCACCCTGACCGGTAAACTGGCTAGCATACCGCAAAATGTAAATCCAGACGCGACCGAGAGCACGGACAATGACTTGATTTCGAATCTCCTTGGGATACGAGACAAGAGCTTTATTGACCGGGTACTACAAGCGTCCGCCGACGATGCCGCCAAGCTGCTAGGAGTGAAACGCAGCCAGGAATAAAGCTGCATCTTATTTTTCAAACATTTCACATTTGTGCCTTAGGTTCCTCTCCTCGTCGTCTAAACCAGTGAGTTGATCTACATATGTGGAACAGAGGTATATCTGAAAGGAGTCATAGTTAGGTGTGCGATCTTGATGAATCTTCACGATAGTTTATTGCAGAAGTGTTGCAACAGTTCATGGATGAATGTTCAATGTATCAGTAACGGTTGCTATAGCAACTCTTTGTTAAACGATTGCGGACAAAGAGTTGTTGTAACAACTTTCTACCAAAGCATTGGGTGTACATGAACATTCATTGGATGATGTCAACAACACCGTATTGATCTGAATAGGTAATTGATGAAGTTGTTGATGTTCTTGTGCTTTATTTATTTCATATTTATGTCCAATTCTGTTTTAATTAAGAATCTTTGAAATTCGATCGTTTCGATCTTGTTCAGAATTCTCTTTGTCTTGGATATTTCGTACTAATCTCAGTGACACAACAATTCAACAATGAACTCGTATCAATAATGTTATATATCATTTTCATGAAGTTCATCAGGTTCTTCGAACGAGCTAGGGGAGGAACGCGTTATATATTGATTACAAAAGCGCAGAGCCACGTTTGCTTTTCTCCATTTTCACTGTGAGAATGATCGTAGTTAGGGTCACTGTTCGTTCTCTACGTCGATTACGTGCCTACCTTTCTCGGTTTTTTTTTTCTTTTCCCACACCAAGCGCCAGAGCGTACTCGCGTGTACCTCTTTGTATTTACATATGTACATACATGTAGCCTTGCCAATACAAGGATGAGCGAAGACAAAGGGAAAACTAGCATGCGAATGCGCCCGTCGAGAACGGGAGAGCGTCACCAGGTATCAAGTATTAGCAGCGTTTATTCGATCGACGGCGCTCCCCGTTGATCGATCGGACCGTACTGAAACCCAAAGATACATTTTACACAACGAATTAAGTTAGCCATATATAATACGTACTTCTATTTATTGTTTGTCACGGTAATTAGAGAAAAGAACTTTCCCGTCGAACTGTATTTTTGTTTTTTTTTCTTTGACGAGAAGGAAGTCTCGAAACGCGGAATAAGCTGAAAGGATTGACGAACGATGATAAGTTGCCGACCGAGTTTTCAACAGCTTGAACGGTAATCAGTTGCATCTGTTCTTTCGGTAAGCGTCGTGCAAAATCGAAGAAGCGATCGATAAAATACGCAAGTAGAGCAATATAGGAAGAAAAAGTTTATCATGACTATTATATATATATAAATATAGATATATGTAATCATCGATTTTTATTCCGTCGCGTAAAGATTACTGTATATAGATAGTCTAATTGAACACTTTTGGTAGGTGTTAATGAGTTTTCCGAACAAGGAGACGATATTTAAAATGCAATTATACCAAATAAATCGGCTTTGATTTAGCCGGGCGTCGAAATCGACATCGATCACTCGATCGATCTCGTGCAACGCGATTCGAACCGACGCGGTAAAAAAGATTTATATCTCCTAATCGTGATACTTTCCTTTTCAATTTCTTCTTCTTTACGGTTATTGTTTTTCCTCGTTCACCGTATGATCTCTCTTGCATCACACGAGCACACGAATGATTTAACAAATGTATTTCTTCTACCTTTCGTCTTTGTCTCTTTAAAAGAAAATCTCTTTCTGTCCCATTTCTATTTGCGTCTCTCTCTCTCTTTTTAAGCTCACTGTATTTATTCTTTTATAGAAAGAACGACTTGGGTGAGTCGACGTGCGCTCATCGGGAAGTCGAGGATAATTTGCTCGGGGTGCTTTCCGTTTCACTTTTAAAGTGCCGTCGATAGTATTTGAGGTCTCTCCTCGATGTTGCGTTATGCATTTCCTGTGCATAACATATTTATTGCGAATAAATTACGTGTGTATACTTTATCCCGTTGGAATCGGTGACAACGATGTCGAATAACTTCGTTTAATCGATACAGACGATTCGATGCGCGTCGAAATCCGTTTCCACGATTAAACGGGGTTGCTAGCGTTAACACCCCCTTTGTAATATTTAGGTTAGGAAAGTCAGATATAGTTATACATATATAAAGGCGGTTCGTCGTGTTTCTGTCGAAACTTGAACGTGTTCAATGAAAATTGTTGTTAAATCCCCGAATGTCAAAAATAATGCGATTTATTGCGAATCGTGTAAACCGTACGCGTGTAAATATAGAGTTAGCGATTACGCTCGAAGTTTAAGGTATCGATATCGAAAATTTGTACATGTCTCTTGTGTCAACGGTGTATTTATTATAAATACCGAAACTGACCGTAACTTTAGGAAAATCAAAACGTATATAATTAGCTTTGTTCTTTGTACAATTACACGGAAAACACCCCGTAGTGATCATTCGCTCTGAATCGGTGTTTCTTTGCTGCGTGAAACAGGGTCGGATCTAGAAGCATTTTTGAATCTTTTCTTGCACAATTTGAAAGTAAATAATCAAGTTCACGTATAAATTAATTTTTCGAAGATTTCATCGTTCTGGATCCGTCGCTGTAATGAAGATATTTTTCAAACGGATTTCAAGGTCCATAAGAGGTAGTCGTATATATATTAAGGGAACGTTTTCTTTCTCATAATTTTCTTCAACAGAAAGTTAGTTGTTAATTTGGTCCGTATACTACAATATTAATATCTTTGACTGTCTGGATTATTCCTTCCAGATTCTTCGAAAGCGTTTAGGTATGGAGTATCGTAATCAATAAACCGTCGAAATAATCTTCATCATCTCAGAAAGATGAAACGCTGTTTCAGATCTTATTCGAATATTTCCACGTCGATGTGGCGCAATGTGTCGGTTAAGTCTGCGTGAAAAAAAAAGCATGGAACATGTAAATGATAAAGATCTATTTATTAAAGAGGCGAAATATGTTTGAATCCTTGAAGTGTTTTTCTTGATTTGTTTAAGAAGAATTTAAGCTATGGAGTAATTATTGTAGCGCACGTGTACAAGATTATGTTGTATCCTTGTTTAAACTTGGCTATGAATAAGAATATAGCATATCAAAATGACAAATTAACGACTAATTTTTCAATTATTTGAAAAAACGAAACGGGGAAATAACGATTATACGCAAGCTCCTTTCCACGATTTTATTTCCTGTCAAATACTATATAATATATTTTACTAATAGTAACGTCCAGTAAATGATATCAATTAAAGTAATAAATTATTAAGAGCAACCAAGCATATATTGCGCTATTTACATATAAATATTACACATTTCGCTAAACTGCGTTCTACATTAAAAACGCTATCGACAAAATAGCGTTGAATGCCGATATAAGAAAGACTTGCTTACATTTTATATTTAATTCATTTTTTTTTTTTCTTTTCTTTTCTTTTCTTCCTCAACTTTTGCACTTTCGCTTTGGGATACATATTGTCAAGGATAAAACCTTACGGTCCCATTGTTCATTTCAACATCCGTTAATGACACTTCTTTGTTCTTTCACGATTATACAAACGTGTGCGTTTAACGAGAGACACTTAACTATTAGATGATCAAACAACACCGACTCGCTCGTATGGAGCGTCCTATTAAAGATTTCAATCATAAACGTTCAAAGTAGCAACGAGTATCCACTATTCCGATGCGTTAAAACATCCTCATAATATATCTTCCTTAATCGCTTCGTGAGTTACAAACATTTTTATATAGAAGACTTGGTCATGTATCGAGAAAAACACTAAGAGTATAGACACTGACGTAACTAAGATTTTTCTCCAGCTCATTCCGCTTTCCGCTTAGTTACGCCAATGATTAAAAATGATTAATAAAATACATTCGAACATAAGACATTAACTCACGCTCTTCTCTGAACTTTCTCGTGATCGACGCGTCGCTACTATAAAATCTTCCTGTTAACACGTTAAAAACGATCCTAAACAAATCATCTTAAGTACTTAATGTTAGCGTATCGTAGTAGGGGGAAAAAATATGGGGCATGCAATATATGTGTATGCTTAGAAATATGATACACATTAATCCCTTTCGGAATAAGAACTACGTATAAGTAATGAAAAAGCGGACAAAACATGGAAGCGATTATGAAAGTACTACTACACATATGTATGTACACGTATTGCAACGCTTTCTGACTTGACGATAAAAGCAATTTACCGGTTGATAAACTTATCTTACGTTTCAATTTTTCTTTTTTTTTTTTTTCTTTGCCTTTTCCTGTGTTTTTGTATAAACAAATCAATAGCACTTTAGGCATTCTTCACATACAGATAACATCCATTCTATATGCACTCATAAATAAATTTAACAGAGACTGAGATTAATAGGAGTATTAGGTCGTTAGATCACTGTAAGATCAAATCATGCTACAGTATGTCGTTCATTGGCAAACCAGGATCCGGTTGTATCATGTCGTTCGTCGAAAAATCAAATGGTTCCACGTCTTTTATTTCATCTTCGATTTTCACCGCATTGCTACTCATATTATCGCTGACTACAGCGTTATTGCAAACCATGTTTGACGTGTCTAACGTATCCTCTGTTTTTATATCTTGCTTCATCATGAACGCCTGCTTCTTCGTCTTAGTCTCCCGTTTCGCATCCGTTCTGTCTCTTTCGTACATAAACGTTTTTCGTTTTCTTCTCATCGGCTTGCATACTTTTTTATAAAGCACGTTCATCTCTTTTATTCTGCTGGTCGGTATCGTCCAATCCATTTCCTTGGACGTTGTGTCAGAATTGCGTGTCGGATCCATTGTACTTTCGTATTCAGGGATCTCTAGCCCTAACTTTTTCATCACACTGATCATTATTTCGTCAACGTTACCATTGATTATTAAATCTGCCTTTTTATCCTAAAAAAAAAGTATTCTCCATAGGTGTACTCAGTTGTAAATTAACAATTATACTGACCACACTCTATGCTTTAGTTAATGTACATAAATAATAAATGATTAATACATTTGTTATTAGAATTTTTAAGCATAAAATTTATCCTTACATGCTTTGTTGGTTGCAGATTACATATGACGAGACGACCACCATACTTTTTCGTGTACAGAGGTAAATTACCGCTTGGTATAATTTGGAGCGTCGTTCCAAGACATATACTTAAATCCGCCACACTGCAAACATACATTTCCATACCGTAATTGTTAAACTAAAACCTGAGACACAGAATTTTTAGATTAACGATTTTTTTCCAATATTTTTCACATCAAATTACCTAGAATGTAAATCAGATAATGTTAGATCACTGTCTGGTAAGTTATGCTCCCAATCGAGGATAGTGTCGTGCATGCGTCCACGGCATGGACGACCACCAATTTGCTCAGATCTACACACAGTGTCAAGAGACTTCTTGCCCACGCTTTTAGTAGCGAAATTTCGAATAAATTGCCTAAAAATGTATTATGGTATATTATTTAATATTGTACAATTAAATTTTGACAAAAGAATACCAACCTTCCACATTTATCACATTGTTCAGTAAACATGTTACCATGTAACTCTGCAAGGTGCTGTCTTTGCACTCCAGACCGAAGGTGCAAACCATCAATGTTCTGACTTATGATAAATTTAACTTTTTCTAAAGGAAACCAATCAGGTATTAATGAAATTTCGTTACTGTTTATTGGATAGCTATGCTTTCTTCTAACTATACTTACTAGCATCTATTAATTTTTTCAATGACATATGTGTCTTTGTAGGAATTGCTTCATCAAAGGAAATGTTCATGGTAGGCTTTAAACCTTTTTGTTCCAATGTCCATACTCCATTTGTACCTCTATGATCATGCATGATATGTGAAAATAATTAAAAAGAAAAAAAAAAGAAATGAATTAATCATGAATGTATAGTAGGGTAAAAAATATATTAAAATATTAATTATAATTATATAGAATTTAGACTATTCATATTTTGGACGTCTTCTACTTAAATTTGCAATAATTTCATCATTTTTGTTTATCGTAGATGCTGAGCTATCAATGTTTCGAGAAGTCATCACCACCATTGTCGCGCGCAACAATGGTGGACGGCGTCGATCAAAGGAATTTCGCTCCTTTCTTCGCGGCTCCATTTCCCGCTTGATTAATTTGAAAGAATTGACCAGTGGCGCTTTGAAACGCAGAACAGATCGGAATCAGAGGGTATCGGGGTGCTGGGGGGAAGGGATGGAACTACATTGAAGTAGGGTGGGGATTTGAGGGAAAAATTACAAATGATAATCACCGAAAATCCGGAATGCCCGCAGCAGTGCTGATACCAGCACCGGTGTGAACGACAACGTGACGTGCCGCCTGTATCCACTCGGCTAGAAGGCCACATTTCAGTCGTAATGCCTCGACGCTGTCGTATCTCTAAAAAGGAAAGAAGAAAAAAAAAATTTACACATCAAACAAACGATTGAATGCATCGCGGATGGCCGACTCCCGCCTAAACGAGCGGGTAGAAACAACGCTTTTTACCTCTTCCAAACCCAGCACTCCTTTGTTTTCGTACTGCGAAAGCCCGTCCGCGTAGCTGCATGACATTTTGCTCGCACGATCGTTCGAAAATTCGATCCGAAACCCGTGTACGACGCTAACAATGGCACGATCGTGTTTTTTATAGCGCGAAAACTAGCATTTCAGCCACGATATTAAGGGGTTCCCATGTGTCAGACGACACGTAAACAATTTGTAAGTTAATGACCGCGTGCTGTTATGTTTATACGCTACGAATGACGATAAGTGATAGGAAACTCGAGATCCACTGAGAACGCATTCTGTTTTATAGACTGCACTGCATGCAATGAAATGGCACTTGAACAGAAAGAAGATAATAAACGTGTGACGCGTGCGCGTTAAGCGCCCCTGGGAGAGCTGGCTTGAGCGTTGCAGACGCTTGAGTTTCTCGCGTCCATTCAATTCATGCCGCGAATAGTTAGCGCCACCCGATGCCGCCATTCACGACTAAACACCGTCCGCGGTAACATTCGAAACAATTACCGTTTGTTGAACTGTTCGCGTATACCGCGCGTTTTCATTCTTGCCGCTTTCATCTTCTTATCGATTCGTTCTGCACTACTTTGAAACAACATTTCAAACGCTTAACCCATTATTCGATCCTTAAGATATACCCTTCAGGCATGAATGGCTGTTACGTATATCAAAATTTCTATTACGTTATTCTAAATCTAATGCAGACATTCTAGATCATTTTGAAATAGTACGATGAATATAATGGTATTAAAGCTAGTTGTTTGAAACATTAGTTTTCTATCATTGCAATTTTATTGCTTATGTTCTATTAAATTGATTAGGATTCAAAAAGTTCTATCTTTCTAATATGGTGTTGAACCCCAGTAGTAAGTTTTTTCTTAGAAATCTTTTATTTCATTCATACATCATCCAGCTTATTTTTCTTTTAATTATCTAAGGTACAAGAAGCATATAACACGAAGAATTAACTGGGAAATGTTGTAAGAAAAGATTATGCTTAATTTTCTTTATAAGTAGATTTGTGCGTTTGAAGCTTCCGCCTTGGATTGCAATGTGACCCAGTGACTAAAGAGGGTGCATTCCCCGTGCACCAAACGGACCAGGGTAGGAATACCATGTTAACCTCTGTTTCAAGACCCAAACGGATTTCGCCCCTCGCCCACGACTTTGTCCTGTGGCTTTACTTCACCTCCTAGCAAATTTTTTTACACATGGTTCGATTCGTTCTCTGCTACGTAGAGACGTACGATTAAACAAACAAATAGTAAGGAAAATGAGGGGTGTCAGGAAAAAAAAGAAACAAAGTTGCTGAACACTGCGAAACATACGCGTCGTTGATATTCACGTTATTAGTTTCGAAAAATGACACCTTTCTAAAGAGCGACTTGTGAATATGCTGCCGTTGAACGCTCCCCATCATCAACAATACATTCATCTGACCTAACCTCAAATCGTTTTGGGATTACATTACGTTTTAACGACGTCAGGACATTAATATCACCTGTGCCGAATGTGCAAAACAAGATTTTCATTATCACAGTGGATGCTTAGAAATTTCCAAAGCTTTTTTCTGCACGTAAGTTATAAACATACTATTTCCTCATTATTGTTATTATTTATGCTTGGACATCATTAGATGATTGTTCATTTTGGTACTTTCTCTACATTCTTTTTTTTTTTTCATCCTATAGCATGATGGATAGTAGGAAGTGTGACATTTGAATGGCACAGGTATGATCAACACAATGTAGATCTAGCAAAATTACCTTTTGGTACGCATGTTTTTATGAAAAATTCTTTTGTTTATATTGTGTAAGTGTATTATAACTGTACATGTATTAGAACTGTACACTGAGTGAATTATATGTATACACTGTTGAATTAATTATGTACCAAACTTATAAAGATTAACAAGAGTATGTACCATGTGTCTCTGTGATTTATTAATGAAGGATGTAAAGCAGTTGGTTCTATAACACTTCTATTGTTACAAGTAGAAAGAAACAGATGTGTTTAGAATAGTATTAACAATTTACTGTTGTGTTCAAATATGCTGTAAGGCAGTGGTTCTAAAACTGGGTGCTGCAAAATTTTGAATTATTTGTATGTAAAAAGATAAATATTAATAAAAGGCTGTAGATTATTAACTGTAAAAAGCAAATAATAATAATAATAGGGTTGCTGTGTATTTTGTTTAATGATTTCAGTGTGCCACCAGACAAAATGTTTGAGAACCACTGCTGTAAGATAAAGGTTCTGTTATATTCATTTTTAGAGCAATATTTTAGCTGCTGTGCATATTTGTACATACAGCAGAGAAATATCAAGGGACCAAAATTAATGCAACTAATATCATAACTAATTTTATTATTTACTAATATTCACAGCAAAAAAAATCTTAAATATCTTTTATATTTCGAAGCCGAATGTTTGCTTTACGTAACCGAGTTTAACAAATTAATTCTCAATACGTTTACCTTTAACTGCATAGAAACTTATTGATGCACTTGTGAATCTTCAAATGAAGAAAAACAGCATTTTAGAATAGCATTGATTTTTCTAACACTAGAAACTAAGAAGAAATCGACCTTTCGAGTGCGAGCACTAGAGAATACTAGTATAACGTAGCCGCAATCGATGTTTAACTGATAAGAAATATATTCTTATCGCGTAACACTCGGATAATTGGCGGTTACTTATGCTGCAACTGGAATTGGAATGCCTCTACTAAAAAGCAAGATAATTTACCAACCATCGATTTCTACCGAACAACCCAATATTTTTAATTATTAATATTTTAGCTATCAGCATCGATTTTCCATATTGACGCTATAATTATGTCATTTTATAAAAAAAAAGAATGATTCGGTCTGCAGTCACATATTATATGTAGATAAGGATAATGAGACAACTTGCAAGAACCTTCAAACTCTTCAAGGTTTATACACGAGTTATAATTATTTAAAGGAATCTATATGCACACTCTGTTATGAATTACCGTGCATGAGACACGTCGAATTTGTTTAAACAAAACACAAAAACTTCTGTTGCGTCCGACTGTATGTTATATCGTTTATCAATTGTTCCGGGCATTACATTGTCTACAGGTGTTCGGTATCATTGATAATAATTAAAAGATTAATCATTCGGTATGTATACGCTATCTAATTGCTTTCTCTGGCAGGAAATAATAAAAGCGATCTTGCAAAACACTGTCTCATCTGCAGGAACAGCAGTTGAATCTAAATCATTATAATGTTGTGATATCGATTTGTACTGAATTTTCTTGCATTAGACATAAAAAAAGCCATAAAAAATATTCTTGGCATGAGACCGAAGGTAGGAGTAAGGAATTGTAGTGATGTTGTTGAGGATTTAAAGGCGTGGTTTGTCATATTTAACACCTTGTAAATGAAAACTATGTTAATCATTGTGGGATCCTTTTATTGGCGGTGCGGCTGCCCCTGCCCAGGCGGGCCGCGACCCCCATTAGAATTGTAAATGTCTGTCTGTCTGTCTGTCCCGCTCCGTAGCAGCCAAACGGTAAGGGGTATCGACTTGGGACCTTGACTATTGAACGCAGAAGGATCGATAACCGGAAGGAAGCACATCCAAATTTTCAGACTTCGAGGACCACTCCTTCCACCGGAAATTGGGGATGAAAATCATCCCTTTGAAGTTTTTCACCAATCAAACAATGTATACTGATTGGATAGTGTACATTGATCGCTAATCAGCGGGCGGGGCCGCAGGGGGCCATCCCTACTACTATCTTAGGTCATCTTTGGGAGTTACGTAACCGCTATATCGCCCTGCCTTAATTTAATGCTTTGTTCTAAATTATTTAACTTGTAAAGTATAACAAAACATGGTATCGCAACCTTTATTATATCTTTTCGTTTCCTGTTTCCTTATAACATGGGTACAGCATCAGTGGCCGTTGAAACGATGATAGCGTGCACATTGAAGTTGCAATAGTCTTAACTTGTATGTAGTTTCAATCAGTTTTATTGCTGTTTCGTTTCCTTGAAACATTGGCGGACTTCGTTAAGTTATTCGATGTTAGTAGTAAACATACAAGTGATACAAGTCCGACGATAGTTCAAGGTATCTGGAATATCAATAATCCGGTATCTGTTCAACTTTCACTGAAGTAGACTTATGTCAACTATAAGAGAGATCTGGTGCGATTTTAAATGTCAATCGGTAGATTATTTATAATTTCTTCTTCGTGGATATGTAAGGCAGGTGTAAGGTGTCAATGTAAATAAGAAAAACAGGTGGAATTTTTCAGTTTCACATTAATTATTATTTGAGAGTGTGTGCTGTAAATACAAAATAAGTACACATTGTATCCGTTGCGACATGTGTCTAATCTTGATTTTTTTTTCTTTTTCAGCCAGGCTCGGATGTGTATGATGTAAGGGGTTCGTTAGTATGCTGGATAAGCGGCGGCTTTATGCCTCCGGTTCGCCACCATGCACCCTGATTTTTGTGGTCGCTTTGGCACTGACTGGATGCTTCTCCTTTTGGCTTCACATCGAGGGATCCGGATCCTCGACAGCTTACAGCAACGGCGGTGGCACGGCACCGGGATATCTGCTGATCTTTCCTGGGAACGCTACACCCTCACCGCAGCCGTACTTACTGCACGAACTTTCGTTCGGTGACAAATCCAGCCTGATCGATATAAAGGATTTCAGGTTCACGATCAACCACGATCCGTGCAACCGGACGCATCCGTTGCTATTGATGCTCGTCCATTCGGCACCCGAGAATTTCCTCAAGAGGAACGTCGTCAGAGACACTTGGGGTCAACAGTCAACGGATGTAGCGCTCCTCTTCCTCGTTGGCTGGTCCGATGAATATCAGACGAGACTGGAGGAGGAGAATAGGAGATATAAAGATTTGATACAAGGCAACTTTCTCGATGCCTACAGAAACATGACTTACAAGCATGTGATGGCGTTGAAATGGGCTACGTATCATTGTCCAAGTAAGAAATAAAAATATTTAAAATGAAAATATTCCAAAGGTAATGTAGAACTTTCTAAAAGATTTTTAATACCTGTTTCAGGTGCCAAATATGTACTAAAGTTAGACGACGATGTTTTTGTTCACATACCCGCGATGCTGGATTTTTTGACACGAGATCTGTCACCTTGGGGCGCCAGACGGTTGATCCTTTGCGATCTTCTATCAGCCGGCACCGTGAAGAGATCTTGGCGTTCCAAATGGAGGGTTTCACCTCAAGAATATCCTGGTAGACATTATCCTGCGTACTGTGCCGGATGGGCTATATTGTATTCTCCTGATAGCGTATTCCTTTTGTATCGCGAGGCACAAAAAGAGCCATATTTCTGGATCGATGATGTTCATATTACCGGGACGTTAGCTAGGAAAGTAAATTTAACTCAAACCTCTCTGCATTATCTGGTGCTAACCAACGAGAACATGCAGGACCTTCTGTCCAACCCGAGTTCTCGAAGGGAGTTTCTATTTGGACCTCCGAATCTCAGTGAAAACGAGATAAGAGCCTTACAAAGTCTGGTCATCAAACCACGGCCTAGCAGTGAAAGCCTATTGAACTGAGACGTTTTGAATTTCATTGAAATGTCCCGTTCGTCCATACACACAACTTTTTTGGTGTCTGATATTTTTAG